CACCACCTCCCTGCCTTCTTTACCATCTTCGCTCCTCTCCCCACATTGACTGAGCCCTTCTGCCTTGCAGGTGAGGAGGAGTGCAGGGACTCCCATGCTTGTGTGGTTGTACGCTGCAGGTGAGAGTGCCTTGCTGTGGGGTGCGGTTTATATTTGCCGTGCGATCAATGAGTTCCCGCACCCCACCGAGGAGGCCCGGGCTCGGATTCTACAGGTGATGCGAGTGCAGGAACTCCCATGCTTGTGTGTGAGCGATAGGTGAGGTGAGTGCAAGGAAAGAAGGTGAAAGAAGCCGTAGCATTGATGAATTCTCACAGATCACAGAGGAGGCCCGGGATAGCATCCTGCAGGTGAGGAGTGCGAGGGCTCCCGTGCTTGCTAGAGCTGCAGGTGAGCTGAGTGCAAGGACAGTTGAGGCAAGGCATGGGGTCAGTGGTTACCCATATCCCGGGCTTGAGTCCTGTAGGTGAGGTGAGTGAAAGGACTACCGTTTGTGCTCTCCAGGTGAGAAAGAGTGCATGGGACTGCTAGGCTTGCTTGCGTGCATGCTGCAGAGAGCGAGAAGCTTGGGTTTTGGTCTATCCATAGTTTGAAGTCATATAGTTTCTCTGCTTTCTCTGCATTTTTTCCTATCAGATCCACTCGCGGAAAATTTACGTACACCCAGATCTGTATTGGGAGGAGCTACCATTGTCAACCCCCTACCTCTGTCCCTGATCCCCTGTCCCTCACTCGTTGTCAGATCCATTCACGGAAAATTAGCGTACACCCGGATGTGAATCTCGAGGAGCTGGCGCGGTCAACAGATGATTCCAATGGAGCTCAACTTAACGCCGTCTGTGTAGAGGCTGGCATGCTTGCCCTGCGCCGAGACGCCACTGAGGTGAGTCTTCTGAGCCATATCCCTCGAGGAGCTGGTGCGGTCAACAGACGATTTCAACGGAGCTCAACTCAAGGCGGTGTGTGTGGAGGCCGGCATGCTTGCCCTGCGCCGCGATGCCACTGAGGTAATTATGATGATGAATGTGGTTTTTTTACGTTTCTTGTGTCACTTTATCCTACTTGGCTCATGACACCTTATTTTAGCAGGGCATGCTTTGCTAACTTGTGGGTCTTGTGTTGGTTGCTGGTGACACATGAGGATTTCAATGAAGGAATTATTCAGGTGCGGGCCAAGAAAAAGGCTAGCCTTAACTACTATGCATAGGTAAATGGAACACACGTGATCTTTCAGTTGTTACATTATTTGAAACTGAAACATATTTCAACTTCATCTTCACAAAACACCGTGTTTTTTGTTGTCATGGTAGCGTCGGTCACAGCCTCTCAGTTGCAGTGCATCATATATATGTCAGCTCCATGAGATTCCTGCCCCCACTACGTGTGCTCAGGCATTGTGAGATGATGTCCTTACCTGAAATCTACTGACATAATATTGGTAAATGGTTGAAATATCATGCTACACACTATAGCGCTTGTTTTTAGAGGTAATGCTCCTTAGCGCGTCAGCTTGCATCTCTTACCCCCGAGTACCCTCAGCTCTGAACCCTAAACGAGCTCACTCGCCGCTTATTCGCTTGCGCCTTTTACGCGAATGGCCTCAGTACACGCGTCACACCGCGACTACAGATGCGGGAGACAAAGACTACTGTAGCAATCCGGATTTCGGCGAGTGATGACTAACTGCTAGTAACCAAGCAAGCACCGATTATGGATCACCCATTGTTGGCGTAGGAACGTGGGCGCTGCCGATTTTTCTTCGTTTCATTCTGCCCGCAGCGCACTTGCGTCGCCACCTGTACCGCAAGCATGTTTACCCCAGAGGGCTGCACACCTCACATACCGGCCGCACCATGCAAGCTGATTCGTTGTAACGCCTGTGGGGCTGTGGGGCTTACACGTAAGCGTTGAGGGGCCTCCGCTGCGCCCCAAAGATACCCTTCGTTTTGACCAATGGGGTAGTAGCGAGGCGTTATTCGTTCTGACGCGTCCGGGTTCGATGGGCGATTAGGATAAGGATAAGGATCAGGAGGAGGATTTTCCTGAAATCATTCTAAGGATGAGGGCGCCGAGTCTGTTGTTCCTGCTCGCGATTCCCCTGCGTCGCGACGCGGTTCGCCCGCGCGAGGTTTCCTCGGCTGGGACTGCCCATAGCATAAATACCGGAGTCTACTAGTAGTGGTCATTGTCTATTCGTTCAGCGGCGTTCTCATATACCTCAACTGCACCTCTCGAAGTCATGTCGTTTGTTTCCCCCACAATGAGGAGCCTAGTAATGGTTGCTGCTATTTTCACAGTCTTCGCACGCTGCGGCATAGTAGCCGCCGCGGCCACCCAGATCGACTGTGTCACGCTGTGCAAGAACCCACAGAACGTGTCCGACGAAAAATGCGCCTTTGATTGCGGGGTATGTAACTCTGTAACGATTCAGATTCGCAAGAGCATTGCGCGTTCGTGTTTCACCTGCCAGATGGATCATCGCCCAAGTCGCGGGGTTACTTAATCTTCTAGGTGAAAAGGTGGAGAAACCGAAACTTGGCGTTTCTGGCGCCTTGGTTGGAAATGGCTCGAATGGCGCCTTGGCTTTCTGCTCCTCCCTCTGCTCTCTGCTCGAAATGCAACTTCCGATTTCCTTATTCCTCCTCCCTTCGCCACACCCCTTTCTTCCGCATGTATATGGACCGCATTGGACCTCGATGGATCTCATCTGACCACATCACCTGACGCTTCAACTGGTTGTAAAACTCGTTCACTGCAGCTGTGCGCGTCCGGCCTTACTGGTGGCTGCACTTATATCTTTCAGCCCAATTGGGAGACCAATGGTGAGTCTAGCTAGAGCCCTGCTTACTCTCATCTTTTTTTCTCGATTTGTTGCTGGTTAGGAATGGGTGATTCTGGCTTGTGATCGCATCGATTCACTTACGGTGTGCATTGGCTGAGACATCTGGTGACCCGCTGCTTGCACCCAACACACTCACTTTGCGTTTGACATTCCCTGTTCTTCTCCTGTTCTTCTCCCGTCTGCCTAATGCATCGTAACAGGTACAGTGTACAATGGTAACGACTGCCGTTCTGTTTGTCCTCCCAAACATGCTGGAGGGATCTCTACAACACATCTTACATGGTGGAGCTGGCTGCTCGTTGTCAGCGCCATTCTGTTTGTCCCAAACCTGCTGACGTTGGAAACCCTGACATAGCTGTTTGGTGACACCATCTTCCTGGAAGCAAGTGTCTATGTCAGAGCCATGAGATTTCTGCAATTTGTATGAATGCCCTTCTGTACTTGTTGGAGCCTGCAAAGGGTTGCCACTTTGTGCCATGTACGTCACTGGTTGAAATTTATCATTCTGCAAGAAAGGGTTATTCGCATTGGTTCTCCGCAAAGGATTATTACTGGTCCGGAATATCTCAGCAGCGTTGTAAGTGATTACTGGCTTAGGGTGATTGATTGACAACCGATGATATCTCTATTGTGCAATGAGCATCATCGGTTTGTCCTAATAGCGCTTCTTTCCAGAGCTATTGCTCCTTAGCGCGTACACGTGCTATCTCATTTCATACCTTCGAGAACCTTCAGCTCCGAGCCCTGCAAGCTCACTCACTGATTTCCCTTTATACGCACAGTTAATTGCACCACTCGTGTTTGCTTCGAATAGCGCGTTTACACGGCACCGGCACACGTAATTGCGGAAGCTGCAGACAGAGGCTACTACTGCTACGCAAGAAAGGACCCGTCATGGACCCATTATTGTTGGTTTCGAAGTGGGTGCTGCCGGTTTTTCTGCGTTTTTCCTGCCCGTAGCGCACCAAAATCGCCGCCTGTTCCGCGAGCCGATCCGCGCGAAGTTTCGCGAGCAGATCCGCGAGAAGTTTCGCGATCATATCCATTCCCAGAGCGCAGCACAACTCATACACGGGCCATGCTACGCGAGCTGACTCGTCCACGGGTTCACGGGGTCCGAGGCTCGATGGGAGACGAGTGACACGTGGCGTGGATGACACGGGGAATAGATGCGTGCTGACGTGTCGTAGTCTTCTAAAATCGCGTCAAATGCGAAGAAGAGTATCAGCATGGCTACCCGCGACGCTGCCGCTGTCGCGAGCACAATGCGACCGGCTCGGCGACGATCTGCGACGCTGCTCGGATTTCGTCGACCATCGCTCAAACTGGACATGGGTCGATCCTGTCTCGAATCTACTGAACGTGCATCCGACATCAATTTAAAGCCACGTGGCGAATCCACTTCCGTTGCAGCACTAACCCTACGACGAGGCCCCATCTTCCCCGCATTATGATAGTCTGTACAGCCCCCGGCATAAATACTTTGGTCCCTCCCTCCCGAACCCCGTGTGCAGATTCAAGAGCTTTTGGAAGCAGTGGTGCTGCCAATGACGCACAAGGAACGCTTTGCATGTGGTGGTGTTTGCCTCGCTGGGCATGAAGCCGCTCTCGTCCCCCCAACCTCCCCCCTCCTCTCTCTCAGATTCAAGAACTAGTGGAAGCAGTGGTGCTGCCAATGACGCACAAGGAGCGCTTTGCATGTGGTGGTGTTTGCCTCGCTGGGCATGAAGCCGCTCTCGTCCCCCTCCACCCCCTCTTCTCTCGTGTGCAGCTTGCCGTGCATCATCTTCTTTGATCTCTCCTCTGGAACAGAAACTCGTTTCTGTCTCCTCAAGCACGGTTACGACCGTTTTGTTTGTACATGCGTGCAGCTTGCCGTGCATCGTCTTCATGGATGGAACTGATGCCATTGGCACCAAAAGTTTTGACATAAGATTTTCCCCATCTTCCACACCTTCCCCATCTTGCACATCTTCCACATCTTGCACATCTTCCCATCTTCCACATCTTCCCATCTTCCACAACTTCCCCATCTTGCACATCTTCCCCATCTTGCACATCTTCCCCATCTTGCACATCTTCCCCTATCTTTCCTCCCTCTTTTCGAACCCTAATCGTTGGCAGTGAAGTGAGTGGGGACCGCGAGGTGCAGAGAACGATGCTGGAGCTGCTGAGTCAGCTGGATGGCTTCAGTAGTGACGGCAGAATCAAGGTGAGACGACAAGCCAGCCACACAGATAGTGATGCTCGGCACTGTGCTCCCTGCTCAAGTGCCATTTCAGCTTCTTCACCTCCTCACCTCACCATACCTCTCCATCTGCCGTCGCTCCTCTGCCAAACTGACTGAGCCTTTCTGCCCTTGTACATGCTCCTGTGCTCATCCACTCGTGGTATTCAACCGATGGTAGTCATGACCCGAGCAGACACGGGGCGTTTGAATTTGAGGGCACCTCGCAACAGTTCCTGCCCTGTGCGCCTTTTCCGTGCTCCCATGGATATGGCATTCTCATACCATCAGGTCGTAGCAGCCACGAACAGAGCTGACATCCTGGACCTGGCTCTCATGCGCTCGGGGCGGCTCGCCCATCCTGCCCTTTCACCTCTCTCCTCGTTCACCTTTTTACCCCATTCACGCCCTGTCAGGTCGTGGCAGCCACGAACCGAGCTGACATCCTGGACCCGGCTCTCATGCGCTCGGGCCGTATGAGGCCTGCCTGCCCCTACACCCCACCTTATTCAACCCCATTCACCCCATCCACCGTTCAATCCCATTCACACTGTGTCAGGTCGTGGCAGCTACTAACCGGGCCGACATCCTGGACCACCTGGCTCTCATGCGCTCGGGACGACTCAGGCCTGCCTGCCCTATAGCCCACCCCTTTTGACCAACCCCATTCACCCCATTTACCCCTTGACTTGGTCGTGGCAGCCACGAACCGAGCCGACATTCTCGATCCGGCTCTTATGCGCTCAGGGCGGCTGGACAGGAAGATTGAGTTCCCACACCCCACGGAGGAGGCCCGCGCTCGCATCCTGCAGGTGAGGAGAGTGAAAGGGATTTCATGTTTGTTTGCTTGTCGGCTCGGTTTGCATTTGGATGCCTTTTGGGGTTGCCGTGGGATGAATGAGTTCCTAGCATGGTCAACAGATATCGTTTTGTCTCAAGCCTCCTATCCGTCTCTAAATCCCCTCTCCCCCCCTCGCTGCCAGATCCACTCATGGAAAGAGAATGTGAATGTCCACCTGGATGTGAATTTCGAGGAGCAAGCGTTGCCAACAGGTTTCGAGACGTCTCAACTCAAGCCAATTATCTTCTAATCGCCTCTCCCTCCCTCCCTCCCTTCCGCCCTCTTTCCCTATCAGATCCACTCACGGAAAATGAACGTACACCCGGATGTGAATTTTGAGGAGCTAGCACGGTCAACAGACGACTTCAACGGAGCTCAACTCAAGGCCGTCTATGTAGAGGCCGGCATGCTTGCCCTGCGCCGCGACGCCACTGAGGTGATAATTTCGAGCAATCTTTCTTGTCTACATACATCCCTTGCATTACTTATCATCCTTGACTGGCCATGCAGCATTCCTTCCATTGATATGGTTTATTCTGCATAACTAGTGGGCTGTCCGTGCTGGTTTTGATTGCAGGTGACGCATGAAGACTTTAGTGAAGGAATCATCCAGGTGCAAGCTAAGAAGAAGGCTAGCCTCAACTACTATGCATAAGTGGAACACTTTAGCTCTTTAATTGTTACATAATCTGATACACTCTTGAACCCTCATGTACATAGCTGTGCGTGGTTACAGAGTTCTTTTTTCACACATGCCGTGTGTTATTTTGGTTGTGGCGGCATCTGTCACAGCCTCACAGTGACAGCGTAGCATCTCTCTATCAAAGCCATGAGATTCTCCCATCACTGGATGATAACGTTGCCTTTTCCTGCCATCTGCTGAAGGCCTTACGTTGTTGGAGGCTGTAAAATGGAGCCTTCACCTTTGCCATGTACTTCTATAAAATCTCTTATGCAACATGGTCTATATCCACAGCAGTTTCCACTACTGATGAGATTATTAATCTGATTGTAGCGTGATTGTTTGGTATTCACAATGTGCAATGATCATTGTTTTTCAGATATAGGCTCCTTAGGGCGTACGCGGGCATGTTGTTTCAGACCTTCAAGCACCTGCAATTTTCCTGCACGTGGCGCACCCTTTCCGCTAGCATACTATTGATCCTCAGTGCGCTGCACAACTCATGCACGGGGGCCACACTGCGCAAGCGGACTCGTTCCTAACGGGTCCGAGGCTCGATGGGATAAGGATGAGGACGAGGAGGAATAAGATTGTTCAGATTTTTGTTAGGATGCGGTGTGCCGCTGCGACGCGGCTCCGCTGCATCGCGACGCGGAGAGACCCATCAGGGCGAGGACCTCTAGGCTGGGACTGGCCATAAGAATCAGCATCGACAACAGAGTCTTCCAGAACTGGTCTTCTCTTGTCTTTTTCTTTTCAGCTTCCTCAGTAATTTGTCTATCAGGCTGCGTACCAGCAATAGTTTCTTATCGGACTGATCGATCACCAGCTGCACCTCTCGAAGTCATGTCATTCACTTCCCCCACAATGAAGCGCCAAGTACTAGTGGTTGCTGCTATTTTCACAGTCTTAGCATGCTGCAGCGTGGTAGCTTCCACTGAGACCACCGAATACGACTGTATTAAGCCGTGCGTCTACCCTCAACCCGACTTCGACGTCGTTGTTGCCTGCGTCAAAGCATGCATGGTATGTCATTCCAAAATGGTTCAGATTCGTATGCGAATTGCCACGAACACTCTTCTGCGCTTTCTTATTTCACCTACCAGGTGGATTATCAATCAAGATCTTCTTTTACTTATGTTCCTGTTAGCTCTTCGTGGTGGAAAGTGGAAACATTAAAGCGCATAGCTTCAATGCTTGTCTCGGAAGAGGCGTGAATTGCTCATTCCTCTTTGCTCTTTGCTTAAGACGCAACTTCCGATTGCCTTATAGCATCTCCTCCCTTCGCTTTACCCCTATTCCATGCATATGGACCGCACTGGACCTTCATGGACCTCATCGACCACATCACCAACATTGCATGACACGGCAACCGATTTCAAAATTCACACATGCAGAAGTGTGTGGCCTCAAGTAGGGACTGCAGCGTCAGCTTTGAGCCAAAATGGGCTCATGGTCCCACTGGTGCGTAGATAAAACCCTCGTCTTTCTCAAACCCTTTTTCAAGATCTCATCTGGTAAGAAGAACTGGTGATACTGGCTCGTATCACATTCATGCACTTATGGTGGTGGGCGTTGATTGAGGCCTGTTGTGACCCGTTTATGCTGCTTGCACCCAACTGCTTTATACGGAGTGTCATTTCAAGTAAGAACGCACTCACTTTCCGTGTGATATTCTCCTCGTCTTCCTCCCTTTCGCCTCTTGCACAAACCACCACCAGGCAAAGTGATGGTTGGTTACCGATGCAATAGATCATGCCCGTGGTGGACGTGGCTGCCCATTGCCATCTTTATTCTGTTGTTTGTCGTTGGCATCGCAATCATTATCAAGCTGTGCTGCAACAGGCCCAATAGGGTTGCCAGAGCTGCGGACATAGAATATCGCCCAATAGGGTCCTGACATTGCTGTTTGGGGACACACCGTCTTCCTGATCACGGGATGCAAGCAAGTGTCTCTTGCTAGAGAGCCCATAGAAATTGAAGTGTGCTGCTTGAAGTGTTGCTGAGTTGCTGACAAACTAGGCAATGCTAGTGAAAAGTTGTTGCTGCTGTTCGGGTGTTTAGTTGGATGGCAAATTGCTATAGCATGAAACGAAGAACGTGAACGCAGAGGAATGCCATGAGGTGAAGTCAGGCGAGGAACGGAAGCCATAACACTCTTGTCACTTTGTTACACTTGCATAATCGAGAATGTATTTCTCTGGTAGCATGGTACTGTTTAACGAACATTCGTGTGTCTCAGACTCCTTGTGCTTTTTACCGCTCCATACTGGACTGGCCCCTCAATCCTGCCCTTCGTCCCCTTCACCCTCCACTCCATTCACCCTTTCACCCTGTCTCCAGCAGCTTGTTGCAGCCACCAACCAAGTCCACATCCTGGACCCGGCTCTCATGCGCTCGGGGCGTCTGTCCCTATACCCCACCCCACTCAACCCCTTTCACTCGCCTTCAACCTCCCACATTCACCCCATGTCTCACTAGGTCGCGGCAGCCACCAACCGGGCCGACATCCTGGACCCGGCTCTCTTGCGCTCGGGGCGAATCAGGCCTGCCGGTCCCTCGTCCCTCTCACTCCTCCATCACTTCGTGTTGTTGCTCCCTCTCATACCCCCACCTGATTCCCCCATGTCTCCATCAGATGGTAGCAGCCACCAACCGGGCCAACATCCTGGACCCCGCTCTCATGCGCTCGGACTCTCTCAGCCCTTCCTGCCCCTCTACCCCACCCCATTCACTCGCCTTCACCACCCCACATTCACCCCACCAACCGAGCCGACATCCTGGACCCGGCTCTCATGCGCTCGGGGCGGCTCCTGCCTTGATGCCACTCTCCTCCCTCTCGCCCCACCACCCCCTTCATCCCCATTCTCCCGATGTCTCCACCAGGTCGTGGCAGCCACCAACAGAGCTGACATTCTCGACCCTGCCCTCATGCGCTCGGGGCGGCTGGTCAGGAAGATTGAGTTCCCACACCCCACAGAGGAGGCCCGGGCCCGCATCCTGCAGGTGAGGCGCGTGCAACAGCTTCATGCTTGTTTGCTTGTGCGCTGGGTTCGCGATTGGATGCCACCACCTGGGATGAATGAGTCCCTAGCGTGGTAAACAGGTTTGAAGCTGTCCCAAACCTCCTACCTTTCTCTAATCCCCTCTCCCCCCCTTCCTCTCAGATCCACTTGCGGAGCTGGCGTGGCCAACAGGTTTCTAGACGTCTCAAACCTTCTATCTGGTTCTGATCCCCTCTTCTTTCCCACTTAAATCCACCCACAAAAAATGAAAGTACACCCGGATGTGAAGCGCGCGTGGGGAACAGATGATTTCAATGGAGCTCAACTTAAGGCCGTCTGTGCAGAGACCGGCATGCTTTCCCTGCGCTGTGATGCCATCGAGGTGATTGCCTATCCGAGCAATAAATTCTTCTTGTGTACCTCCCTTGTTGTGTTACTTATCGGCCTCGACTGAACGTACGGCGTGCGTTGCTAACCAGTGAATCATGTGCATGCATTCACTTTGATTGCAGGTGATACACGAAGACTTTAATGCAAGCCAAGAAAAAGGCTAGCCTGGAACAATTGTGGCATTTCATTTGTTACATCATTTGAAACAGTCTTCGATTCTGATATTGTGGCTGCTTTGGGTATCTTTTCTCTGCACAGGCTGTGTGTTTTTGTGGTCATGTCATGGCTGGTGGTGTCTGTCACAACCTTGCTGTGAGAGTGCTTATAAGGGGAGTTTCGAACTTTAAGGGGGTAGGGTCACGCATTTCCTTCGAGATGACCAAGCAGCAACTTTGTCAATGCCAAGGTTCTATCAGACCACTCAGTGTGAGGTTTCATTAGACCCATTGTTTCTTACGGTATCTGAAATGCCTCTTGGATGTATATTGATAAGGTCTCGTAAATCTAAAATGCACTCAGGTGAAATTAACGAGGACCAGGTGTAACCGTGCAGTAAGGGTGGGTCAGACATAGTTCGTTTTCGGTATTAATCACGGTTCAAAATTGTGGGTGTCGGTTCAAAGCGGTGAAAGTAATTACCGCTTTAGAGTGCACAGTCGTTTTCCACCGCATGTACCTGACCCGCCATCACACAAGCAACAACGGCATTGTGCCTTTCACGGCACAATGCCAGGAGGGACACAGATGTGGCGTGCAAGTCACTCGCGACATATTTCTCTGGTACCTCCAGCCATGACCTTTTCGTCCCTAGAATCGACAAGTCACGCAGACGACTTTCCGCGCTTGCCACTTTCCGCGCTTTTAGTTTTTTACGCGATGTGCGTCGCGACGCGGAGGCCCAGCAGGGCGAGGTTCTCTATGCTGGAAATGGCTATATATCAGCATCAACTCCTGAGTCTACCAGAAGTGGTCGTTGTCTTTCGAGTTTTCAACGTTCTCAGCAATTCCTCTATCAGGCTGCGCCTTAATATTGCTTCATCGATCTGATTTATTCTTCACCAACTGCACCTCTTTTGAAGTCATGGCGTTCACTTTCCCCACAATGAGGAGCCTAGTACTTGTGGTTGCTGCTATTTTCACAGTCTTCGCACGCTTCGGCGTAGCAGCTGCCACTGAGACTATTGACTACGACTGCTTCACGCCGTGCAATAACCCACAGAACGCGAAAGATGTCGTTGCGTCCTGCGTCGAAGATTGCGCGGTATGCCACGTTCTGATCGCGGTTTACTTACCTACCCGCGGTGGACAAATGGAGAATCTGAAATCAGAAAAGGCTCGAATAGCTCATTCCTCATTCCTCATTGTTCTTTGCTCAAAACTCAAACCTCCATTTTCTTGCTCCGGCCCCTTCCCCTTACCCCCTCTCTCCTCATAAATATGAACCGCGTTGGACCTAGATGAACCTTATCGATCACTAACATTGCATGACATTGCGATTGGTTGCGAAACCTTGCTCCCTGCAGCTGTGCGTTGCGACGAGTAGTGGCTGCAGTTTTAACTTCAAGCCCATTTGGGTTGATGCGACCAACACTGGTGCGTCTCGCTAGAGCCCTGGTTTCGTCTCCATTCTTTTTTTCTCCGTAGATCAAGAATTTGTGATACCGGAGTTGATCACAACGATTCACTTTAGGTGTGTATTTCTGATGCCTGTGGTGACCCGCTGCTTGCACCCAACTGCTTTATGCGGCGTGTCATTTCAAACAATAAGAAACACTCACTTTGCGCTTCACATTCCCCTGTTCTTCTCCCGTCCGCTTCCTGCATCTTATCAGGTCAAGTGTACCAGGAAGGCCAGTGCAATAAGTCATGCGGTCTTTCGTGGTGGAGCTGGCTGCTCATTGCCATCTCCATTTTGTTGTTTGTTGTTCTCATCGCGTTCATTATCTACCGCTGCTGCTGCAGCAAGACCAATGAGGTTGCCAAAGCTGCTGACATTGAGCAATCCTGACATTGGTGTTTGGTGACACCGTCTTCCTGATCACAGGATGCAAGCAAGTGCCTACCGTAGGCCATAGAAACTGATACCGAAAGTGCGTTGCTAAAAGTGTTGATGAGTTGTAGATAAGGTAGGCAATGCTAGTGAAATGTTATTGCTGCTGTTCGGGCATGAAATGCAGAATTTGAAAGCAACACACATGTCACTTTGTTGAACTTACGTAATCTGAAATGTATTTCTCTGGTAGCATGGCACTGTACAGAACAATCTTGTGTCGGACACTACCCACGCTTTTTCCCCTGGATTCAGTCGTCATAGTGTCAGACACTTCCCCCGATCCCCATACTATATCGCACTCCGCTGGTAACCCTGGGCTTCGCTGTCTGTCCATCATATCGTCCGGGCGTCGTCAGGTGTTCCTTCTTCGTGACTCCGTCGCTCCTTAGCAAGAGGCTGTTTGCGATCTGCGGTTACCCGCGCGACTATTGGGTAACCAGTTGACAAGCCAAGCTGACTGGTAACTATCTGTCTCTGGTTTCCTTCCTGCTACTCCACGAATCTGTTTGAATCTTCGCTCGGTAGACGAAAAGACAGATCATCATCAACTTGCGCTCTCAGGAACGCCAGTGGCGGACCGCCAGTCGCGGGGCGCCAGTCGCGGATCGCCAGGTCGCTAGCGATGGGGGGTCCGGCCTTTGATCTCCTCGCCAACCCGCTGGGAGCGGTGCGCGTCCTCTTCGACCGCGAGGTCCACCGGCTCCGCAGCGCCGCACAAATCGGCGGACAAGGCGGCGGCGATGGCGGGGGCGCGCAGGAGGCGATAAAGCGGCAGCTGGCGGAGGGGGACTGGGGAGTTCGCGCGCTCGTAGACGAATTCCTGTTCCGCGACGGGAACATCGATAAGGTGGAAGCTAGATTCGTTCCCGCCTGGACTTGTGAAACTCGTGCTGACAGTTTCCCGTTGCTGCTTCGACTTATTTCCGCTTTGCAGCCTTACGCCTCCGAACCTGCGCGTGCCAGATCCGCGTAGGACCGATAACGCACGGAACAACTTGCAGAGGTGGTCTCTGGACGTGTCCGTTAGGATTAATGGCCATCTTGGGTCGTTTCTCTGAACAACCGTTAGCTTTCTTGCATTCAATGGCCGTTCTGCAGTGCACAGAGCCGGTCCCCCACACCTGCAGGGTCAATGTCATGCCGTGTCTTCCTTGCTTTTCACTCGCCTCCGCCTCTTCAGGTGCCGGAGGTCAATTCAGTGGGCGTAAATCACGTGCATTCTGATTCGAGTCAGTTCTCGTGTATTTTAACCTCCTCCTTGGTTCTTCTTCCCTCCATAGGTGCCGGAGATTAACTCTGTGGGCGTGGATCACGTGCCTGTGGGATCTCTTGTCAGATTCCGAGGCATGGTAAGCTGCTTCACTCCCATTGACTCCCCTTGACTCGCTTCCTTTGACTCGCTTTGACTCGCTTCCTTTGACTTAATTTGACTCGCTTTGGCTCCTTTAATATTTTTTAGTTGACAAACTCCATAGACTCATCCTGACATGCATTGACTCATTCTTGACTAGTTCTGACGCGCATTGACTCGTTCTTGACTCATTCTGGCATGCTTTGACGCATGTTGTGCATAGACTTGGTTCGGCTTGTAGCAACCAAGGTTCGAATGAATCTCGACGCTTCCACTACTGCTGTACCTTTTCTTGTTTCCGCAGGTACAGGACATGTGGGGCACGGAGTTTTATCAGGGCCTCTACAAACGAAGCAGGCAGCCCCCATCCACTTCCCCCTCAGGCTCCTCCGCCTCCCCCGCTTCCCCCTGGCGCACCACCAAGTACACTGATGGGGACTGCGCAGGGGGGATGGGGGGAGATGGAGCGGAGGGGCTGGGAGAAGGGGCGGCCGATTTTGGCAGTATCTGGGAGAGGCGGCTGCTGTACTGTGTGCCGGTGAGTTCCCCTCGTGGACGGCGTTTTGTGGCTCGACACGTGAAGCTTTGCTTCCGCTTGTCACTCATTACATCTGCATGTTTAATCGAATCCTTCAACTCCCCTGTCTGTCCCCATTTCCTCCTTCCCGCTTTCTCCCCTCCTCACTTCCTCTTTCCCCGTCTATCCTTCCCGCCCCAGGTGCCAGGGGAGCAGCCAGCGCGGTCTCAGGGACACGGGGAGGGAGGCAGGGGGAACGAGTTATCAGGCGCCTCAAAACTCCTCTACCCATCTTCACTAGTTCCTATCCTTTCCCCCTTTCGGTCCTCTCCTATCCTATCTTCCCCAGGTGCCGGGGGAGCAGCCGTGGGCGCGAGCTCTCAGGGATGGGGGGAGGGAGGGTAGGGGGAACCGGGGGAGAGGGGAGGGGGGAAGCGGAGGGGAGGAGAGCAGTGGGGCGGAGAAGAGGGGCAGAGAGGAGGGGGACGCTGAAGCCATGGTGGGTCTCGACGTCAGTCTTCCTTGGGTCTCCTTTGTTGTCCCTGTTGATCCAGCTGTGTCATCTGCTCACTATGTTACCCAAACCTTGTTCTCACAGCACTCCCACAAGTCTATCAAGTGTAAGCGGTACTTGAGAGGCGCCTCAAGAGGCGTTTTCATGCCCCCACCGCGCATGCTCTCGGTGCCTGCAGCTTCACTTCAGCATCTTCACTTCACTTCACTTCATTGCTTCGTATGCCGCATTGGTCTCGGCGCGTGCAGGGCATGGACGTGGAAACGAGGGGGGCTCCCGGCGAGGCAGGGGAATCCAAGAGACAGGTACGTGAATTCTCAAAAGGGAAGGCAGGGCGGCCGCCCTTTCCCTTTCGCATACACTCCACAGGTTTGCCTCGTCGAATCGGGGGACAGAGAGTGGGGTGTGTTGCGGGGGAAGGTGGGTGCGGCGGGGAAAGGGGTGGAAGGGTGTGGGCGGGTTGGGAGGAGTGTGAGAGGGAGAATTGCTGGTAAAGAAACAATTCGCTGACCTGCATAGTGTGCGGAGGACGGCACCTTCCCCTCCCCCGCTCCCCTTGTCCCCACTCTCCCTCCCATCCTGACTCCCTGCCTCTGCATGCTTTCCTTGCTTCCCGTCCCGTCCCCTCCAGGCCACCACTGCAGTTACCAGCACCACAGACGCTGCCATCCCCACCAGCAGCAGCAGCACCCCCGCACAGCCCGGCAGCACCGCTGCTGCCGGCAACCCCGCTCCATTCGTGGATCTGCACTTCCCTCTCGGCCCCTCTGCCTCTGCTTCCCATGGCCGCCCGCTGCTGCCATGCATTGTCAAGGTGGGCTTCAGAGCAGCATGCTCACTGCGTGCCTCACTGCGTGCCTCACTGCGTGCCTCACTGCGTGCCTCACTGCGTGCCTCAGTGAAACAGAAACCTATAACGTGCCTATCAGAAACTTTAGCTCCACCGCCATTTGGTCGCCCTCCTCCTCTCCCCCATGCACCCATCACGTGTAAGGCAGCGTGGACTCGCAGCTCAAGCTGAACCAGGTGGTGGTGTTTGTGGGGGTGGCGATAGCACCTCGGTCATTCTTGCCTGCACCCTTCTCTATCTTTCTTCCTCCCTCTCCCCCATGCACTCACCTTCATCGCCCCATCAGCTGTACGACAGCATGGAGTCCCAAGTAAAGCTGAACCAGGTGGTGGAGTTCGTGGGGGTGGTGATAGCACCACGCCCACTCGCTCTAACAGCACCTCTCTCCCACTGTTGCCCATGCATGCGTGCACATCCCCCCATCAGCTGTACGACAGCGTAGAGGCACAGGTGAAGCTGAACCAGGTGGTTGAATTCGTGGGGGTGGTGGCACCCCCATCCGCACCCACCGTGCATGCCCACACAGCAGTGGGGCACACAGCAGCACACGACGCAGGTGCAGCCACAACCGCTGGCGCAGGTGCAGTGACAACCGCAGGCGCAGGCACAACGATGGAGGTGGAGAGGATGGGAGGCGACATGGGCATGGGAGCGTGCCCCTCTGCGTGTCTGCCCAGCAGCCAGGTGCTGCGCCTGCACTGCCTCACCTGGAGGAAGCTTCCTGACCTCTTCCAGCCCGCCACGGAGCCCACTGTCGCTGTGAGTATTGCCGCTGTTTCGTCGTCTTCGGAGTTTAGGGTTCTCACAACGTCTCCAGCTTTCAGAATTGCCCATCGGTCCGCGCTTCCATGATGCCTTCCCTTCCATCAATCTCATTCTCCTCGTTCCCCCTGCTCCCGTTTTTCCTCTCCCCCCCACTTCCCACCACATCCCTTGTGCAGGCAGCAGCGGGCATCAGGGCGGCGCTGCTGTCCCGATTGGCTGCTGCTATGGATGGTGCCTCAAATAGGACTTGTGACTCTACGTGCCTGCGGCTGTTGTTTTTGGAGGGGCCTAAAAAGAAGTTGTTGCAGCCATGACTGTACGTGGCAGTGGCTTGCTTGAAGCTCCTTTTGCTACCATCTCCCCCCTCCCCCGCACATCCCCCATGCAGGCAGCAGCCGGCATCAGGGCAGTGTTGTTGTCCCGATTGGCTGCTGCTCTGGGCGGCGACAGGCTGGCGGCAGAGTATTTGCTGCTGCACCTGCTGTCGCGGGTATGTATGGTATGAGGTGATAGGGCATAGGGCATGACACGAATTGCTGTTGCTTAAGATGTGACATGATATGATGTCTTGCGTTTCATATGATAGGATCTGCTGTGTATGATTTGTCGTTTGCTCTGCTGGTATTGTGTGGTGTGGTGTGGTATCATGCCGCAAATCTCACTCCACATGTTCATGCAATGCCACCATCCACATCCCACTGTAGCACCATGGTTCAACATCGTTTTATCCTCCCGTCCCCTGCATTGCTGGGTATGTCTGCATGTATGCATGTGTCCATTTCTGCTTGTGCGCATGAATGGATCTACATGCATATGCATGATTTCATGTGCGCATGCATGCATGCCATCAGGTACACACGCGCATAGAGCCCATGCCTCTGGGAAAACTCTCCCTCAACCTCTCCGGCTTCCCAGAACCTTCCTCTGCCTCCACTCCCTCTCCAACCCCTCCTCCTCTCTCCTCCTTTCCTCCCTCACTCTCCCAAGCCGTCTCCCCCTCTCTCTCCGCCCTCACCTCCTCTCTCCAAACCCTCCTCCCAGCCACCCACACTCTCCCGCTCTCCCTGGACAATCTTAACTCGCGCCGCCTCACGCCCCACAAGGACTATACCTCGGACAGGCTAGTCTCTGGCGTGCTGCAGCTGCCAGCAGGGACCCACCTAACTCTTGACGAGACGGCTTTAAAGCCGGGAAGGGTGACGGCGCTAGGGAGTCAGAACCTGCAGGCACTTAAAGAGCAATTGGAGTGGCAAAAAGTGGATTACGATTTTCAATACTATAAGATGGAGATGCAGAGTGATGTTCCCGTGCTCATTCTCTCGCACGCCACGTCACGCCTCCTGCCTGCTGACGTCAGCTTGCCAGTGCGGTGCACGGCGCCACCTCAGCCTGTCCGTGAGGACGAGCCGGAGGTCGCCACTTGGCGGCGGTACATTGGCTGCTGCCGGCTGCTGGATCACGAGATTAAGGAGGACATGCGGGAGGTGCGTGGCATGCGGGAGGTGCGTGGAATGCGGGAGGTGCGTGGCATGCGGCTGCAAAGGAGAGAGCCTTTTCATGAGTGCGGGTTTGAGGCCCTTCTAAAGGACGGCATGCGGGAGGTGCGGGTGCTGTGTTTGCAGATAAGACAGCGTGTGTATGAGTGTGGTGCAGATGAGAGTGGATGCATGCGAGTGTGTACGTGGCTGTTGGAGCACGAGATGAAGGACGGCATGCGAGAGGTGCGTGCGTGTGTGTCATTGCTGCTTGAAGAGTGTGTTTATGGGGGTGCATGTGCATATGTATGTGAGTGTGTATGCGGCTGTTGGAGCACGAGAGATCAAGGAGGACATGCGAGAGGTGCGTGTTTGCTGATGCACATACACATGCATGTACAGGTGCATGTGCATGTGCATGTACAGGTGCATGTGCATGTACAGGTGCATGTGCATGTACAGGTGCATGTGCATGTGCATGCGCATGTACATGTGCATGTGCATGTACAAGTGCATGTGCATGTACAGGTGCATGTGCATGTACAGGTGCATGTGCATGTGCATGTGCATGTGCATGTACAGGTGCATGTGCATGTACAGGTGCATGTGCATGTACAGGTGCATGTGCATGTGCCATGTGCTTGTGCATGTGCATGTGCCATGTGCATGTGCATGTGCATGTGCACGATAGAGTATGGGCATGTGCATGCCACCAAGTGTGGGCGTCACAGCCCCTTCCATCCTCAAACCACCCGTGTTCACCATCTCACATCCCACCCACCTCACATATCACATCCCACCCTCCCACCTGTGCGCGCAGCAAGTGGAGAGGGAACTTGTGGCAGCGCGCCAGCAGGACCCCTCTCTCGACTCCGATACTTTCCACCGGTAGGTGCTGTCTGCTGCTTTTGGGGATGGCTGTTACTGAGACATGCCTGTTGCGGGGTATACTTTTGAGACGCCTCAATACTCGCGAGCTAGTGGCAGCGCGGCAGCGGACCCCTCTCTCGACTCCGATACTTTTCAGAGGTACGCACTGCTTGCTTCTGGGTGATGCATGTTGCTGAGTGATGTTGGCGGTGCATGTAAGTCAATATTGTTTCTATGACTGATTTGTGGTTGTCTATATGGGTGGGCATTGCATGCAGGTGGCTCACGTTGGCTCGCCTGGCAGCAGCAAGCTTTGGAGAGAGGGAGCTCTCGAGGGAGAGGTGGCAGGCAGTGAGGGACCTGGAGCGCACTAGAGAGGCTCGTAACCGAGTGGTGTAGGTTAAACGGGGGAACTTGTACGATAAAGGCTAGATACTTGTACCGTATGTTACTGCTGATCGAGTAAGATGAATGGATCAGTTCACTCTACTAATATAGTTCTTTGAACTGACAGATTGTCATGTCCACCGTATTTACCTCACACCCATTCCCCTGTAAATGTCATCCTAGTCACACATTTAAAACCAGGGTCTCAAGTACGGGTTGGCCGAAACACCAAGGCGAAAAGTGGGTTCATTGGCGAGTTTAGATTAAACAATGCTTTGGCCCCAGATTTGTGAACCAATCAGACAGGCCCTTTTTCATCGACTGCAAAAGACTTGGTCTACTTGAGACCCTGGCTTTAACCCCTTCAGAACTCTGCCTTTGACACCTATAGTCCATAATGTTTATCCGAAACAACATTCTTGTGGCAAGAATCGAGGCCGACCGTGCCGCAGCATCTAAACGACCTCTGGGGGCTGTAGCACAGAGACAAGAAAAGCTTGATTCCTCGGCAAGCCATGGGGAGAGTGGTGTGGTCCGGCCTATTCTCGAAAATATTTCTCCCGAAGGTATTTCTCTACGTAGTCGAGATTCTCTCCGGGTTGTTCCGCCGCCCGCATCCGTCTAGTCTTCGCGCTCCCTCGAGAGACTATCCTTCTCGAGGATTCCAGAAGGAGCGAAACGATCGCAAATGATCGTGGTACGGCGCGCGAAGTTCGCAGAGCTCGCAGTCTTATGATGCCGCCGTCACCTGTCCGCGCTAGGTACGTCCACGTGTCTCACCTCAACTTCGTCGGCCCCAAACTGGAGCACCATGAAAATCCCCGAATCGCCAAAGACTTCTTGCAAGACGGCATTTTCAAGGGCTCGTCCCGTCCTCGGTCCCAAGGGTTGTGGACTAAACCGGCGTGGATTTTGCGCTGGATTTTGCGTTGCGACTCACGTAGAGCTTATGACGGTGTCGTTCTGCAGGCACCTGACAATTGGGGGAGGAGGGAGGGAGAAGGAAAATGAGGAGGGTTCCGAGGTGGGTAGTCGGCGCCAGGTCTCAGCCCAATTTAACCCGGATTTTAACCCAGATTCTGCTAACATAAAGACTCTAGTCGCCTTTCCTTCAGTGAGAAATTAGTCTTATGAAAACCTTTCCCCTTGCATTTCACTGGAACCGCCATGGATTCGCCATCTTTCGCACATTCCTACGCCGCTCGCAACACCGCCGGTAACGGCGGCGGCGGCGGCGGTAACGGCGTGAAGAAACGCACATGGGAAAGCCTCTCCCCGTCGCCTTCTCCCAAGTCCTCTCTCCTATTTCCCGAAAGCCCGGCGGGTCGCACGAGAGCCTGGAAACACGGTTTGTGCGACAGCAGCAGCGCCGCGAATGTCGCTCTCAGTTCGCCAATAGAATCAGTGACGACTCGAAAGCGTTATCGAGGCTCCCCCAGCTTTTTAGGTCCGCTCTTCAGCCGGCTTAAACCGGCCGTCCGATGCTTTCGATCCAACGGTCCGCGGCAGTCGCTGCAGCCGCTCGAATCGGCCGGGCAGTACGAGCCAGCGCCCACGCCGAGATACGTCCAGTGACCGCCCTGCGACGCGCGTGCCTCGCACGCGTCGCCACGCGCCCGCCACGAGTACTTCCTCCGACAGCTGGCGTCTCCAGTTGCAGTTTCGAACCCTCGTCACCCCGCGCCCCCCGCCGCAAATCTCGCTACCAATCCAACCACGAGTAGTGGTCGCACCGACGCTAGAGAAACTTCCGAAGCTAGAGCGAATCCCGGCGCGCCGCTGACAGATTTGACGCTCGCCGGGTCGCGGCTTTCTCGCGGCGCCATGATGACGCGACCCGCGACGACGATCGCGCAGCTGATGCTCATCCGCGCGTGCCACGGCGAGGCGCTCCGCCGCCACAGCCTCGGCACCGCGCTCGGCTTGCGCACGCGGCGCGGAATACTCACGGATATCCCCGCTATAGTCGTCTTCGTTCCAAGGAAGGTGCACGAGGAGTGGCTGCTGCCGGCGCAGAAGCTTCCGAGGAAGCTGCAGGGGCCGGGCGGGTACGAGTGTGATGTGGACGTGGTGGAACTGACCAATCAGAGCGGCGGCAGCAGCAGCAGCAGCCCGGGCGCTGCGGGCCACGTGGCAGGTGACGTGGCAGGCGCGGTGGGAGTGGCAGCAGACGTAGCTATTATAGATAACCCGCTGGTGGAGCAGCTGAGGGGGAGTGGCAGTAAGATCGGGCCGGGGTCGCAGATTGCAAGCGAGGAGGTGTATGGAACGCTGGGAGCGATTGTTAAAAAAGCCGGCAGGAGCAACAGCAGTGGCAGCAGTAGCGGTGGCGGTGGCGGCGGCGGCGGCGGCGGCGGTGGCGGTGGCGGCGGCGGCGGCGGCGGCGGCGGTGGCGGCGGTGGCGGCGGCGGTGACCATGGGAGGACGAGCGGCACTGGTGGGATGAGCAGCAGTGTTGGTGGGAGCAGTGGTTGTCTTGGGGTGGGGTTTCTGGCGGCTCGCCACGTGGCAGTTGACTTGGACCAGCCGAAGCAGAAGCTGTTTCACCCCCTGCCTGCGTCGCTTGGTCCGGGAAGGTTCTTAGGCTCGGTGGAACGAGCCTTGCCGTTTGCCTCGGACCACGCGTGGTTCGGCGTGTTCGCCAACATGAACCCAGGTGCCAAGTGTACTCGTTATTATGTGATCCCATAAGAGTTGTGGCACTCAGCTATTGTTCCGCTACAAGCTTTATTCCTCCCCGTCTCCTCAGCCCCCCCCCCCCCTTCCCATACAACCTTCTCCCAACCTCCCTCTTCCCCCACTCCCGCACATGGCCCAACACATCTTCCCCTCATCCCCTTGTCCCCGTTACAAGCAGACTCGTTTGTGCGCACTGACGGCGCGTACGTTTCTTTCCATGAGGAGTTTGACCTATCAGTTGTGACAACGCAAGTGGCGGGAATCGGCCCTATTGGTCCCCCCCGCCGCATCGACCTATCAGACGACATTTGTAGTGTGGTGGGACAGCACGTGTGGAAGGTGCGTGGAAGGTACGTGGAAGGTACGTGGAAGGTGCACGGAAGGTACGTGGAAGGTGTCTAGGTAAGGGAGATGCAAGGGTGATGGCAGGGGCAAGCCGTTCTGCACCACCCACGTGCTCTCTCCCCTCTCCCCTCTCCCCTCTCCCCTCTCTCCCCTCCTCCGAATCCTCTTTCTTCTCTCCTGTTTTTTGCTCTCCTTTCTCTCCTCTCTTCTCATTCCTTCAGGTGGGCAGCGCATCAGGGCTAACCCAGGGCACCATAGCAGCATATGCAGTGGAGCACAGAGAGGGAGAGACGTCCCTCTTCACAGACCTCCTTATTGTGGGCCGGGACGGCCATGCATTTGATTGTGAAGGGGACTCGGGTGGCTTGTGCTCTATGCTGCCCTGTGTTTTTGGAGCACAATCAGCCATCACTGCGTGGCACTGGCTGCACTCCTTTTGCTACCTCCCCCCCTGCCCCGCACCTCCCCCATGCAGGCAGCAGCCGGCATCAGGGCAGTGTTGTTGTCTTGCTGCGCTCTGGGCGGCGACAGGCTCGGCCCATATTTGCTGCTGCACCTGCTGCGCGGGTAGTAGGTATGAGCAATAGGGCAGCGGGCATGACCGAAGCTGTTGCTTAAGATGTGACATGATATGATGTCTTGAGTTTCATATGAGGATCTGCTGTGTATGATTTGCGTTTGCTCTGCTGGTAGTGTGGTGTGGTGAATATGCCGCAAATCTCACTCCACATGTTCACCAATGCCACCACCACATCCCATCTGTAGCAGCATGCAACAGCGTTTTATGCCAGTTGCCTGCATTGTGTTATGTCGGATGTAGCATGCAGAGTGCGGGGATGACATGCTATGCATGTGGCATGTGCGCGCATGCATGCATCAGTGCAGCGCATAGAGCCCATGCCTCTGGGAAAACTCTCCCTCAACCTCTCCGGCTTCCCAGAACCTTCCTCTGCCTCCACTCCCTCTCCAACCCCTCCTCCTCTCTCCTCCTTTCCTCCCTCACTCTCCCAAGCCGTCTCCCCCTCTCTCTCCGCCCTCACCTCCTCTCTCCAAACCCTCCTCCCAGCCACCCACACTCTCCCGCTCTCCCTGGACAATCTTAACTCGCGCCGCCTCACGCCCCACAAGGACTATACCTCGGACAGGCTAGTCTCTGGCGTGCTGCAGCTGCCAGCAGGGACCCACCTAACTCTTGACGAGACGGCTTTAAAGCCGGGAAGGGTGACGGCGCTAGGGAGTCAGAACCTGCAGGCACTTAAAGAGCAATTGGAGTGGCAAAAAGTGGATTACGATTTTCAATACTATAAGATGGAGATGCAGAGTGATGTTCCCGTGCTCATTCTCTCGCACGCCACGTCACGCCTCCTGCCTGCTGACGTCAGCTTGCCAGTGCGGTGCACGGCGCCACCTCAGCCTGTCCGTGAGGACGAGCCGGAGGTCGCCACTTGGCGGCGGTACATTGGCTGCTGCCGGCTGCTGGATCACGAGATTAAGGAGGACATGCGGGAGGTGCGTGGCATGCGGGAGGTGCGTGGAATGCGGGAGGTGCGTGGCATGCGGCTGCAAAGGAGAGAGCCTTTTCATGAGTGCGGGTTTGAGGCCCTTCTAAAGGACGGCATGCGGGAGGTGCGGGTGCTGTGTTTGCAGATAAGACAGCGTGTGTATGAGTGTGGTGCAGATGAGAGTGGATGCATGCGAGTGTGTACGTGGCTGTTGGAGCACGAGATGAAGGACGGCATGCGAGAGGTGCGTGCGTGTGTGTCATTGCTGCTTGAAGAGTGTGTTTATGGGGGTGCATGTGCATATGTATGTGAGTGTGTATGCGGCTGTTGGAGCACGAGAGATCAAGGAGGACATGCGAGAGGTGCGTGTTTGCTGATGCACATACACATGCATGTACAGGTGCATGTGCATGTGCATGTACAGGTGCATGTGCATGTACAGGTGCATGTGCATGTACAGGTGCATGTGCATGTGCATGCGCATGTACATGTGCATGTGCATGTACAAGTGCATGTGCATGTACAGGTGCATGTGCATGTACAGGTGCATGTGCATGTGCATGTGCATGTGCATGTACAGGTGCATGTGCATGTACAGGTGCATGTGCATGTACAGGTGCATGTGCATGTGCCATGTGCTTGTGCATGTGCATGTGCCATGTGCATGTGCATGTGCATGTGCACGATAGAGTATGGGCATGTGCATGCCACCAAGTGTGGGCGTCACAGCCCCTTCCATCCTCAAACCACCCGTGTTCACCATCTCACATCCCACCCACCTCACATATCACATCCCACCCTCCCACCTGTGCGCGCAGCAAGTGGAGAGGGAACTTGTGGCAGCGCGCCAGCAGGACCCCTCTCTCGACTCCGATACTTTCCACCGGTAGGTGCTGTCTGCTGCTTTTGGGGATGGCTGTTACTGAGACATGCCTGTTGCGGGGTATACTTTTGAGACGCCTCAATACTCGCGAGCTAGTGGCAGCGCGGCAGCGGACCCCTCTCTCGACTCCGATACTTTTCAGAGGTACGCACTGCTTGCTTCTGGGTGATGCATGTTGCTGAGTGATGTTGGCGGTGCATGTAAGTCAATATTGTTTCTATGACTGATTTGTGGTTGTCTATATGGGTGGGCATTGCATGCAGGTGGCTCACGTTGGCTCGCCTGGCAGCAGCAAGCTTTGGAGAGAGGGAGCTCTCGAGGGAGAGGTGGCAGGCAGTGAGGGACCTGGAGCGCACTAGAGAGGCTCGTAACCGAGTGGTGTAGGTTAAACGGGGGAACTTGTACGATAAAGGCTAGATACTTGTACCGTATGTTACTGCTGATCGAGTAAGATGAATGGATCAGTTCACTCTACTAATATAGTTCTTTGAACTGACAGATTGTCATGTCCACCGTATTTACCTCACACCCATTCCCCTGTAAATGTCATCCTAGTCACACATTTAAAACCAGGGTCTCAAGTACGGGTTGGCCGAAACACCAAGGCGAAAAGTGGGTTCATTGGCGAGTTTAGATTAAACAATGCTTTGGCCCCAGATTTGTGAACCAATCAGACAGGCCCTTTTTCATCGACTGCAAAAGACTTGGTCTACTTGAGACCCTGGCTTTAACCCCTTCAGAACTCTGCCTTTGACACCTATAGTCCATAATGTTTATCCGAAACAACATTCTTGTGGCAAGAATCGAGGCCGACCGTGCCGCAGCATCTAAACGACCTCTGGGGGCTGTAGCACAGAGACAAGAAAAGCTTGATTCCTCGGCAAGCCATGGGGAGAGTGGTGTGGTCCGGCCTATTCTCGAAAATATTTCTCCCGAAGGTATTTCTCTACGTAGTCGAGATTCTCTCCGGGTTGTTCCGCCGCCCGCATCCGTCTAGTCTTCGCGCTCCCTCGAGAGACTATCCTTCTCGAGGATTCCAGAAGGAGCGAAACGATCGCAAATGATCGTGGTACGGCGCGCGAAGTTCGCAGAGCTCGCAGTCTTATGATGCCGCCGTCACCTGTCCGCGCTAGGTACGTCCACGTGTCTCACCTCAACTTCGTCGGCCCCAAACTGGAGCACCATGAAAATCCCCGAATCGCCAAAGACTTCTTGCAAGACGGCATTTTCAAGGGCTCGTCCCGTCCTCGGTCCCAAGGGTTGTGGACTAAACCGGCGTGGATTTTGCGCTGGATTTTGCGTTGCGACTCACGTAGAGCTTATGACGGTGTCGTTCTGCAGGCACCTGACAATTGGGGGAGGAGGGAGGGAGAAGGAAAATGAGGAGGGTTCCGAGGTGGGTAGTCGGCGCCAGGTCTCAGCCCAATTTAACCCGGATTTTAACCCAGATTCTGCTAACATAAAGACTCTAGTCGCCTTTCCTTCAGTGAGAAATTAGTCTTATGAAAACCTTTCCCCTTGCATTTCACTGGAACCGCCATGGATTCGCCATCTTTCGCACATTCCTACGCCGCTCGCAACACCGCCGGTAACGGCGGCGGCGGCGGCGGTAACGGCGTGAAGAAACGCACATGGGAAAGCCTCTCCCCGTCGCCTTCTCCCAAGTCCTCTCTCCTATTTCCCGAAAGCCCGGCGGGTCGCACGAGAGCCTGGAAACACGGTTTGTGCGACAGCAGCAGCGCCGCGAATGTCGCTCTCAGTTCGCCAATAGAATCAGTGACGACTCGAAAGCGTTATCGAGGCTCCCCCAGCTTTTTAGGTCCGCTCTTCAGCCGGCTTAAACCGGCCGTCCGATGCTTTCGATCCAACGGTCCGCGGCAGTCGCTGCAGCCGCTCGAATCGGCCGGGCAGTACGAGCCAGCGCCCACGCCGAGATACGTCCAGTGACCGCCCTGCGACGCGCGTGCCTCGCACGCGTCGCCACGCGCCCGCCACGAGTACTTCCTCCGACAGCTGGCGTCTCCAGTTGCAGTTTCGAACCCTCGTCACCCCGCGCCCCCCGCCGCAAATCTCGCTACCAATCCAACCACGAGTAGTGGTCGCACCGACGCTAGAGAAACTTCCGAAGCTAGAGCGAATCCCGGCGCGCCGCTGACAGATTTGACGCTCGCCGGGTCGCGGCTTTCTCGCGGCGCCATGATGACGCGACCCGCGACGACGATCGCGCAGCTGATGCTCATCCGCGCGTGCCACGGCGAGGCGCTCCGCCGCCACAGCCTCGGCACCGCGCTCGGCTTGCGCACGCGGCGCGGAATACTCACGGATATCCCCGCTATAGTCGTCTTCGTTCCAAGGAAGGTGCACGAGGAGTGGCTGCTGCCGGCGCAGAAGCTTCCGAGGAAGCTGCAGGGGCCGGGCGGGTACGAGTGTGATGTGGACGTGGTGGAACTGACCAATCAGAGCGGCGGCAGCAGCAGCAGCAGCCCGGGCGCTGCGGGCCACGTGGCAGGTGACGTGGCAGGCGCGGTGGGAGTGGCAGCAGACGTAGCTATTATAGATAACCCGCTGGTGGAGCAGCTGAGGGGGAGTGGCAGTAAGATCGGGCCGGGGTCGCAGATTGCAAGCGAGGAGGTGTATGGAACGCTGGGAGCGATTGTTAAAAAAGCCGGCAGGAGCAACAGCAGTGGCAGCAGTAGCGGTGGCGGTGGCGGCGGCGGCGGCGGCGGCGGCGGTGGCGGTGGCGGCGGCGGCGGCGGCGGCGGCGGTGGCGGCGGTGGCGGCGGCGGTGACCATGGGAGGACGAGCGGCACTGGTGGGATGAGCAGCAGTGTTGGTGGGAGCAGTGGTTGTCTTGGGGTGGGGTTTCTGGCGGCTCGCCACGTGGCAGTTGACTTGGACCAGCCGAAGCAGAAGCTGTTTCACCCCCTGCCTGCGTCGCTTGGTCCGGGAAGGTTCTTAGGCTCGGTGGAACGAGCCTTGCCGTTTGCCTCGGACCACGCGTGGTTCGGCGTGTTCGCCAACATGAACCCAGGTGCCAAGTGTACTCGTTATTATGTGATCCCATAAGAGTTGTGGCACTCAGCTATTGTTCCGCTACAAGCTTTATTCCTCCCCGTCTCCTCAGCCCCCCCCCCCCCCTTCCCATACAACCTTCTCCCAACCTCCCTCTTCCCCCACTCCCGCACATGGCCCAACACATCTTCCCCTCATCCCCTTGTCCCCGTTACAAGCAGACTCGTTTGTGCGCACTGACGGCGCGTACGTTTCTTTCCATGAGGAGTTTGACCTATCAGTTGTGACAACGCAAGTGGCGGGAATCGGCCCTATTGGTCCCCCCCGCCGCATCGACCTATCAGACGACATTTGTAGTGTGGTGGGACAGCACGTGTGGAAGGTGCGTGGAAGGTACGTGGAAGGTACGTGGAAGGTGCACGGAAGGTACGTGGAAGGTGTCTAGGTAAGGGAGATGCAAGGGTGATGGCAGGGGCAAGCCGTTCTGCACCACCCACGTGCTCTCTCCCCTCTCCCCTCTCCCCTCTCCCCTCTCTCCCCTCCTCCGAATCCTCTTTCTTCTCTCCTGTTTTTTGCTCTCCTTTCTCTCCTCTCTTCTCATTCCTTCAGGTGGGCAGCGCATCAGGGCTAACCCAGGGCACCATAGCAGCATATGCAGTGGAGCACAGAGAGGGAGAGACGTCCCTCTTCACAGACCTCCTTATTGTGGGCCGGGACGGCCATGCATTTGATTGTGAAGGGGACTCGGGTGCGCTCGTGCTCATGCTCCCCACTGCAGCAGCACAATCACCCATCATGCTCGCCACTGCTGCACTGTCGTCTCCTCCCCCTGCTGCTCCGCCTCCTCCCCCTTCTTCTCCGCCTCCTCCCCCCTCTTCTCCTCTTGCTGCGCCCATACCTTCCACCGCTCTTCCCATTCCCTCTGCACCAGCAGCAGCACCAGAAGAATCAGCAACAACAGCAGCGGCAGCCGTAGCAGCAGCAGTAGCAGCAACAGCAGGGCCACGAGAACCAGCACCAGCAGCAGCAGAAGCAGCACCATCAACAGCAGCCTCAGCAGGAATACCGGCAGCTGCAGCACGATCACCACTACCACTACCACAACCATCAGCAGCAGCAGCAGCAGCGTTGCTAGTGCCAGTTGCGATGGTGTTGGGCGGAGCAGCAAGCAGAGGGGGGATGAAGCTGGGGAGTGGCAGGGGGGCGCAGCAGTGCAGCAGTGCAGTTGACCTCTTTCGCCTGCTCTCCCTGTTGGAACTTGAGATGGTTACCAGTGACGGCGAATTGACAGGTGATGGTTACCATTTATGGTGAGCTAAAAGTTGAGGCGGTTAGTGGTTGCCACTGATGCTGAAGTGAGAGGCAAGAGGCTCACAAGATGTTTCTTGAAATATTTAGAGTCCCTACAGTATGTCACTGTTACGTCCATGTGTTAATGTCTCTTCCTTTTTCTTCTTTCATCTTTATCCTTTGTATCATTTCATTCTAGCTCATTTCCAATCCGTTGTCTTTTGCTTGCAGAGTTAACTCAAAGACAACAGAGACTGCTTAACACTCATGGTAGCGATTTTCCCTCTAATGGGGAAGGTGCTGGTGGTTCTGAGGATGAAGCTGGAAGGGGGAAGAGAGGGCGAGGAAAGGAGATTGAGGAACCAGAGAGGAAAGAGGAAGAGGAAGGGAAGGAGGGAGGAAAAGAGAGCGTGAGGAGGAGGCAACGAGTGGAAGGGTGAGGGGGATCGGTAGGCTGGAAGGCGAGAGAGGAGGAAAGTGGTGACGTGGGCAAGACGATAGCGCATGAGAGGAAGAAAGGGGTGAGAAGACGGGCGAGGGTGGGACATGGCAAGAGGGACAGCAGTCTCTATTCCCCCCCTCGTTGGGTGTGTTGTATGATGTGTGTGGGAGTGGGAGTGGGAGTGGGAGTGGGGGTGGGGCCGGGAAGGGGCAGGCAATGGTGGGTGGAGGCGCGAGCATGTGCAGGACCACTGCTGTGGCTGCTACCACAGTCCAACACACCCATACATGCGTCTGCGCATATATATTTTTTTCTTCCTTGGTGAGTGGTGCTGTGAGTGGGTGAGTGGTGCTGAAAGTGAATGAGCGGTGCTGAGTGGCGCTTGAATTCGGCCATTCTGAAAGGGAAGGTGCAATAGGCCCTCTTACCGTATCAGCATCTGCTATCCGTGTTTTTCATTTTTGCCTGATGTTTCTCACTCTTCTGTTTACCTCTTCCCCCCACTTCCTCTTCTGCACACTCTTGTATACCCTCTCTTGCCATACTCATCAACACATTCCCGGATGCTCCCAGGCGAGTTCTCATGTGTATTTCCAGGAAGCAGGCTTGGTTGCACGACAGCCAGAGTGGATCAGCAGGGCATGTCGCTGCACACACACACAGCCTTATGGTTGTCTGCCTCTACACTTCTGAATTGTTGTGCCAAGATTGTTAACCCAGATGTGTATAAATTTGACAAAGCACTAGCACTGAATTTATTGTAATGCTGTACCCTATACAAGCAGCAACGGCCTCACTCACACATTGAATACCACTCCATTGTCCAACTTGATTACCCTGTATCCATCACGACTATCCGAGTCGCAGCTTCCATCTCTTACTATATACGCAGGTTACAATCCTGCTAGTACCGGGTACAAGTCACAACTCCCCTGTGCCGAGGGGCTTTCGCGAGGTGTCCCCTGAAGCCCATGCCTCGTAGTCCTTTTTCAGCTGTGGAGAGGGAGGGGGCAGAGAGATATGGTGCAGGGAAGAGGTAGCAGAGAGAAGGGACAGGAGGGACAATGCAAGGAGAGGGAGGGTGAGAGGACGAGGAGAGGAAACAAAGAGCAGGAGCAGCAGCAGAGTGGCTTTCAAGAGGTGTCCCCTGCAGCCCAGGCTTCATACTCCATCAGCCATGGGGTGAGATAGGGTAGCGGAACAACAACTTTTGAGCATCTGCTCCAGCAGCTTGTTACCGGGACTCACAAGGTATGTGTGCGTACAGTACCTCAATGCGCAACAAAAGGGGAGGTAGTGAATGGAAAAGCAACACTCACGGGCTCTAGAGAGCGCGGCACGGCCACTTTAAGGATCTGCTGCAACAGCTTGTTGCCGGCACGGCACGCATGCATGTGCGCTCACAGACCATAGTAAGAAGGGAGCACTTAAGGAAGCGCAACGCTCACCTGCTCTAGAAAGCGCGGCACGGTGACTTTAAGAATTTGCTCCTACAGCTTGTTGCCGGCAGTCTCAAAGGATGTCGTGAGCAGAGGCACACGGTACAGAACTCAAGAAGCTCAGCGCTCACCTGCTCTAGAAAGCGCGGAACGGCCACTTTAGATCTGCTTGTTGCCAGCAGGCACGTGTGTGCGTTCAGGTGCCAATAGGTTACAAGAGGGAACCAAAGAGCTCACCTGCTCTAGGAAGCGCGGAACGGCGACTTTAAGAATCTGCTCCAACAGCTTGTTGCCGGCACTCTCTATGACGTCCCTTGGGATCATCCGGAACGGCACTGGGACCTCCACTGAGCTCTGTGGGGGGGGACGATGGGGGAAGATGGGGGAAGATGGGGGAAGATGGGGGAAGATGGGGGAAGATGGGGGAAGATGGGGGAAGATGGGGGAAGATGGGGGACGATGGGGGACGATGGGGGAAGATGGGGGAAGATGGGGGAAGATGGGGGAAGATGGGGGAAGATGGGGGAAGATGGGGGAAGATGGGGGAAGATGGGGGAAGATGGGGGAAGATGGGGGAAGATGGGGGAAGATGGGGGAAGATGGGGGAAGATGGGGGAAGATGGGGGAAGATGGGGGAAGATGGGGGAAGATGGGGGAAGATGGGGGAAGATGGGGGAAGATGGGGGAAGATGGGGGAAGATGGGGGAAGATGGGGGAAGATGGGGGAAGATGGATAGTTTGAGAGGCGCACTGGCGTACTCATGGGGCAGCTTGTTGCCGGCACTCTCTATGACGTCCCTTGAGGAGGGAGAGGAGGGAGAGGAGGGCGACGAGGGAGAGGAGGGAGATGGCATGGCACCATAGCATGACGGCATGCGTCCACCCCTGCAGAGCGGCTCACCTTGAGAGTGGTATCTGACATGATGAGCCGCGAGGAGGGCGACGAGGGGTCAGAGGCCCACCGCACCCGGTTCACCATGGACGCTGGGGGAAGGGGAGGAGGGGGAGGGAGGGGAGGGGAAGGAAGGAGTGGAGGGAAGGAGGGGAAGGAAGGAGGGCGAGAAGGGGTCAGGCGCCCACCGCACCCGGTTCACCATCGACGCTGGGGAGAGAGGGGAAATACTGGAGGTGCAGAAGAAAGGGATAGGGGAGGAAAGGGGTACGCTGATAACACGGGAGGGGAGGGGCGGGAGGAGACGAGGAAAGGGGGCGCGCTGAGAAGCACTCGGTTCACCGGGAACGCTGGGTTGAGGGGCGTAAGGGAGAAGGAGTGGCGAAAGGCATGCATCAAGGATTATGCGGGTACTGGTGCTTGTCGAAGGCCTTTGCTGAACTGAGGACAGCAATTTGACAGGGCGAAGCTTAGCAAAGGGCGGCACTTACATCGGAACTTCTTGTTCTGTGACTTAACAATAGGCGACCCGTCCAGCTGGTGAGGAAGGGGGGGGTTGGAGAGGCACCGAGGGCGAGGGAAGGAGAGGGGGTGGAAAAGGCGGAGTGAGAAACTTCACTATGGGCGACCCGTCCAGCTGATTGGGGGGCCGGAGAGGCACGGGGAAGGGGGAACTGGGAGGGGGAGGGGGAGGGGGAGGGGGAAGGGGGTGCGGTGCTCCCATCGAAACTTGTTGTTCTGTGACTTCACTATGGGCGACCCGTCCAGCTGGTGAGGTGGGGTGGGGCGGCCAGAGAGGCACGTGGGGCAAAGGGGGGGAGAGGGGAGAGGGAAGGGGATGGGGGGAGGGGGGAGGGGGGAGGGGGGAAGGAAGATAGATTATGCGCCTACCCTTTTCTCGCCCGCCTCCCCTGCGCCTCCCCTTTCAGTGGCGGAGAGCAGCGGATGGTGCAACCAACCGCCTGCGCTGCTCCCCACCCTGTGCTCCTCCTGCGCTTCCCCTGCGCTTCCCCTGCGCTCCCCCCTGTGCTTCCCCCTGCGCTCCCCCCTGCGCACCCCCCTGTGCTTCCCCCTGTGCTTCCCTCTACGCGTCCCTCTGCACTTCCGCCCGTACGTACCGTGGCGGAGAGCAGCCTGATCGTGCACCCATCGGCCTCCTCGTCCACGCGCACGAGCAGCACGGCGCAGATCTCCACGCTCAAGAACTCATCCCCCAACCAACCCTCTCTTGCTTACAGTGCTCCCCTCCTCCCCCCGCGCTTACAGTGGCCGAGAGAACGAGCAGCACGGCGCAGATCTCCACGCTCAAGAACTGCACGCGGTGCTCCCCCCCTATGGTGTACGTACCGTGGCGGAGAGCAGCCTTATGGTGCACCCATCCGCCTCCTCGTCCACGCGCACGAGCAGCACGGGGCAGATCTCCACGCTCAAGAAAGAACTCATCCCGTCCTACCCTCTGCTTTCCCTGGGCGTTCCCTGAGCTTCCGCTCCTGTGATTACCGTGGCTGAAAGCAGCCTTATGGTGCAGCCGTCCGCCTCTTCATCCACGCGCACGAGCAGCACGGGGCAGATCTCGACGCTGAAGAATTGCACTCGGTGCGCGTAGCAGCGGAACGTGCTGCCGTCCACGCGCTCGATGCGCTCCGCGTCCAGCACCGAATACTGCGACGCGGGGAGGGTCATGTACTCGGCTGCAAGGGCAATTAGCGCAGGTAGGGGGAAGAGGTGGAAGAGGGCACATGTGTCATGCCACGCGCTCGATGCGCTCCGCGTCCAGCACCGACTATTGGGATGCGGGGAGGGCCATGTACTCGGCTGCGAGCCACGGCGGAATTTGGGGGGAAGAGTGCGATGGGCAAAGAGGGGAAAGAAGGGGGAGAGGGGGCTGGGAAAGTGGAAGGGAATGAAGGAGGGAGGACTGATGGGGGGGAAGATGGCACATGTCATGTAATCCGCGCAAAGGGCGCGGATTGCGGAAGAGGGCACGGAGTAGAGGCGGCGGAAAGGCGAGGTGGAGTCGCCGTGATATTAAACGGTGGTATCTCCGCGGATACGCAACGCAAGAATTCTTGCATTTCTGTGCCGGGTGCAAAGCTCTAAACTCAGATTTTCTATACCTACTATTTACGCACCGAGAGGCTCCTACTATTGAACCGTCTCATAGCTCAGACTTTCTCTCCTAGAGGGTTCCATAATCGCACCTAGGGGCTTCTCTTTCTCGTCCAGCTGGACCTGCTGGCTCCACGTGGCACTCATGTGCGCCCAGTTAGCGTCTGAAAGCGCCTCCACCGCCTCCAACTCCCGCTCCTCCTCCGCCAGTGACGCCACCGCCACGCGCCGCCGCGCGCTGCGCCTGAACGCCGCGCGCTGGGTCTCGCTCCGCAGCGCAGCGCTAGAGTTGCCCGCGAGAGGTAGCCGTGTCGTGGTTGCTGATCTGCTGGACAGGCGCGCGCCGAGACGAGAATGATCGGCGATTGGCGATTGCTGCGCTCCCCGCACGGCCTGCGCGGAGGCTGCGACGGAACCCTGCGCCAGCGCGGCGGCTCCCGCCATGATGGCAGCGGGGAAGGGGAAGGGGAAGGCGGAGGCTGCAGCGGGACGCGGTGGCGCGGATTGTTGAGACGGATAACGGATGTCCGATTATCTAATGGATTTTATAAAACTGCCACGCAACAGCAGCCACCTGAGAACGATTATCCCTAAAGCCGAGGCAAAAGCTAGAGCTACTCGTAAGTGAGGAACTGGCGGCAATCTTGATCCTCGAGGTCCTTCGAGCTCGGAAAGTGCCGACTGCGGTGGATTCCTGACTCGCGCCGAGCGAGCAAGGAGGGCCGCGCGATTGGGGAAAGTTCGAAAATGCTTGTTACGCGGCATGTGCTGATTGGTTAAGAACACTTGAGGAAATCATGGTGCAAGCAGAAGACCCAAGGATGCGCAGGGCGGATGAGGCGAACCAAGACTATTGAGCGAAAAACAACGCCTGCCTTGGTTGGGTGCGAGATCGGTTCAGCTTGAGTTTGTGCAAGTAGGGTAACGGTTTCGCCAGCTGGTTCCATTTGGGCTTGCATATTCATCAAATCGAAATAAATGTTTTTTGGAGAGCATTCACCATTTGGGAAGTCTATTCCATAACGGGTACATCTGATTCACACCTGCTTGTTCTCCTTGAAACTGCATCACTGCCAGCTGCGCTGCGACGATTTTCGCCATGGCCGCCCGAATAGCTGCGCGGCTGCTAAGGGGTTCCGCCAGCCGTGCTTCCTCCTCCCCGCATCTTCCGACCCTAGCATCCCCGCCCTCTTTCCGCGCGCCTCTCGTTCAAACCTCTCCGCCATCCCCTCACTCCCGCACTTTTTCCCGCACCAGTAGCCAGCAGTCGCCAATTCCCCAAATATCGTCAGCACGCGCCGTGAGTCGCGGCGAGCTCTCTATAGGCCTCGAGGCCGCTTTCTCGCCCGCCTCTCCGCCTTCTCATTGGGTCCACGCGTCGCCGTTCATCGCCAGCACGCGACAGATCGTGCGATCTTTTGCGATTCGCAGTGCGACGTCGCCAGCAACCACGCGAATCCGCGGAAACTCGATCTGCTTCGTAAACACGTCGCAACAACGACGGTTCTCGTCGGATTCAGGCAAAGGACCTGACGTGGCATTCGCAGCAGAAGCCAGCGGCCATGCAGCCGAGGGTGTATCCGCAGGCTCGGAAGGCGTAGTAGGTTCGGCTAGCGCAGCCTCGGAAAGCGCAGCCTTAGCTGTGAAAGCCTCGGAGGCGGATGCAGCAGCAGGGGAGGAAGCGGGGGAGGCGGAGTGGGGGACGTACCGCGACAGGCGCGTGGCGGTGCGGAGCTTCAGCGGGGAGGCGCGCGGAGAGGCGGTGCTGGACGAGACTATATTCGACGTGCCTGTACGGAGAGACATCGTGCACCGCGTGGTGTGCTGGCAGCTCGCGAAGCGCCGCCAGGTGGGAAGTGGGGGGGGGGTGGGGCGCGGAGAGGGGGGAGAAGCGCGCGGGGGGTGAGGAGGGGAGAGAGGCGCGCGGAGGGGTGGGGAGGGGAGGGGACGAGGGTAGGGGCGGAGAGGACAGAGTGGGTGGTGAATAGCATTGTAATGGATGTAGTTTGGCTGGGATGGCGTCGCAGCATTAAGTGCGTGGGCGAGGTGCAAGGGTCGTCTAGCAAGCCTCATTGTCTCGCCCCCTTCCCCCCCACTCACTCCCCACTTTCTCCCCCAAACTCCCCCTCCTCTCCCCCAACCCCTTCAGGGCACGCACAGCACGAAGCGGGCGTGCGGGTCGTCCAGCAAGCCTCGTTGTCTCGTCCTCACCCCCCCACTCACTCTCCACTCACCCCCAATGCCCCCATCCCCCTCCCCCCCATGCACAGGGCACGCACAGCACGAAGCGCGCGTGTGAGCTGCGGGGGACGTCTAGCAAGCCATGGAAGCAGAAGGGCACGGGGCGCGCCCGACACGGGTCCCGCCGAGGGCCGCAGGTGAGGGCTGGTTTCATGACTCGTGCTGCCCGGTACGACTGTCAGTGACTTGTGAAGCAGAAGGGCACGCGGCGGGCCACGCACGGGTCATGGCGAGGGCCGCAGGTGAGGGGCATGTGCGTGCGTTTTTTAGGGCCACAGCTGCCGCCCTATTCGTGCCAGTGCCGACTTGTGAGGCAACTCAAGAAGCAAAAGGGCATGGGGCGAGCGGGGCACGGGTGGGTAAGGGGGGCACGGGTGGGTAAGGGGGGCGCAGGTGAGGGAGGGGCACGGGTGGGTAAGGGGGGCGCAGGTGAGGGAGGGGCACGGGTGGGTAAGGGGGGCGCAGGTGAGGGAGGGGCACGGGTGGGTAAGGGGGGCGCAGGTGAGGGAGGGGCTTGCTTGCCTGCCAGCCACTACCGCGCGCTGCCTTGGTGCATCACATCACATGCCCTTGTGACCAGTCCAGTTTCGCAACACTGACTTTCAATGCAAGCCTCTTAATTCCTCTCAAGCTGGACTTTGTAACGAGTATCCCCTCCACCCGCCCACCCCACCAGTTCCGAGTATCCCCTCCACCCGCCCACCCCACCAGTTCCGAGTATCCCCTCCACCCGCCCACCCCACCAGTTCCGAGTATCCCCTCCACCCGCCCACCCCACCAGTTCCGAGTATCCCCTCCACCCGCCCACCCCACCAGTTCCGAGTATCCCCTCCACCCGCCCACCCCACCAGTTCCGAGTATCCCCTCCACCCGCCCACCCCACCAGTTCCGAGTATCCCCTCCACCCGCCCACCCCACCAGTTCCGAGTATCCCCTCCACCCGCCCACCCCACCAGTTCCGAGTATCCCCTCCACCCGCCCACCCCACCAGTTCCGAGTATCCCCTCCACCCGCCCACCCCACCAGTTCCGAGTATCCCCTCCACCCGCCCACCCCACCAGTTCCGAGTATCCCCTCCACCCGCCCACCCCACCAGTTCCGAGTATCCCCTCCACCCGCCCACCCCACCAGTTCCGAGTATCCCCTCCACCCGCCCACCCCACCAGTTCTGAGTATCCCCTCCACCCGCCCACCCCACCAGTTCCGCTCCGCAGCAGCGACACCATGCACGGCACCAAGGCCACTTTCGCTGCCATGCCAATGCATGTACCCACCCCACCACCACCTCCCCCCTCGCCACCACCCCCCCTTTCCCCTGCCACCACTGCTTCCCTCACCAGTTTCGGGGTAGTGCCGCCATACACGGCCCCAAGCCACCCTTCCTTGCCATGCCAGCGCACGTACTCAACCCATCACCCCCATTCCCCACCACCACCACCTTTCCCCCTATCCCCACCCCTCCCCCCACCAGTTCCGCGGCGGAGCCGCCATGCACAGCCCGCCATGCACAGCCCCAAGCCTCCCTCTCCCTTTCCTTGCCATGCCAGTGCACGTACTTACTGCACCACCCCCCCCTCCCTCCTCCCCCCACCAGTTCCGCGGCGGTGCCGCCATGCACGGCCCCAAGCCACGCTCACACGCCTTCTCTCTCAACAAGAAGGTCCGGGCGCTGGGGCTCAAGGCAGCGCTGTCCGCACGGCTGAGGGAAGGGCAGGTGAGAGCGCGGTGTGGTGTGGTGTGGTGTGGTGTGGTGTGCTGTGCTGTGCTGTGCTGTGCTGTGTGCTGGCCTATTGGGTGGTGACCACCTCCCGTGTTCCTAGCTGCTCTCTCAACAAGAAGGTTCGCGCGCTGGGGCTCAAGGCAGCGCTGTCCGCACGGCTGAGGGAAGGGCAGGTGAGCGCACAGTGTGCTTGATCCTCAAGCTACCCTCAGTTGTCCCTCTTTGTGCCACTGTCTTCCCGTTCTTTTTACTCACTCTCCCTCTCACTTTTCACTCTCACTTTCGATCTGCCCTCTCAATCTCCCTCTCACTCTCCCTATTCCTCGCCCTATCACTCTTTTCCCCTACCCAGCTGGTCCTATACTCGGAATTGAATCCGGGCAGCCCGAAAACGAAGGACATGGCGCAACACATTACCACGGCGTTCCCTGAGTCAAAGAAGATCCTTTTCGTTGACGGGTCGCAACGGGCAGATGAAACTTTGCTCCGGGCATCTGGGAATCTGCACTACGTGAACGTGCTGCCAGTTGTGGTGAGTCACTTCCGAGTTACTGATCCTTACAAATGTGCCTTCTTCCATACACTGGACTGAATTGCACTGCACCGCACTCCACCGCCCCATCCGCATGCAATCGACCATACCTCTTCCCCATAGCCATCGGCCATTTTCATCGCCCATACCCATACCCATACCCATACCCGTAACCGTACCCATGCCCATGGCCCATCCCGCCAGGGTCTGAGCGTGTACAGCATAGTGCAGCACAACGCACTTGTGCTGTCGCTTTTGATAGTTCAGAAACCGTTCCTCCCCATCACCGTATTGTCCCATTTACCCGTCCCACCAGGGCCTGAACGTGTACAGCATCGTGCAGCACGCTGCTCAGGCATCGTGAAAATTCACATCACTGCATTGTCCCATGTGCTGCCCATACCCATATGCTTATAACCCGTCCCGCCAGGGTCTGAACGTGTACAGCATCGTGCAGCATGACGCCCTCGTGTTGTCGTTGCCGGCCCTGCAAGCCTTGGAGCACCGCCTCCTCTCCTCCAAGCGTCAGGTTCGGCCAGGCCTGGAGGAGAAGCTCGGCGCTGCTGCAGCTGCCACGTCCTGAGGTGCCCTGGCGTGCCATTAGTGCAGGACGAGACACGGTACATGCAAACGCACGAGTGGGGGTTTTTTTGCAAAATAAGTTGTGTGATATATTACATTACTTATGGTACCGGTGCCGTATATTGAACACACCTGACCGGACACAGTTAGCCTACATAACTTCTCAAAACGGTGTCATCATGTCATCTCTCTCCACACATGGCATACATTGTGTTGGGTCCTCCTACACCTACTGTATCGAGCAGTGGCTAAGGTTGTCTCCAATAGATTCAGAAACCGAAGCACGTTCAATCAATAGGCTGTGGAGCAAGTGCTTGAATTTGGCTAAGTTCAATTGCATAATAAAATCGTAAGGTACACCACCAAAACAAAAGGCGCCGGCTGTAGATACGCTGAAATGCGAACTTATTCGGGAGGCCCCCGAAATTGACGGGTGGGTTGGTCGAGGGACACGCTTCCCACACAGCCTTGGCTCGCGCTAAATAGGGACGTCTTTACTTACCACACCCACGTGTAACCTGCAGCCTTAGCAGCTGCCTCAGCTTGCTGCGCAGCGAGCGTGGCGTTGTACGCACGAGAAGCCATAAGATTCGCAGCCGAGTCCGCGCTGTTCTTATAGCTCACCGCCTTGCTGTATAAGATCTTCGCGTTGCTCACATTCACGGACTTCGCGGGAATAGACGCATTCGCGTAGCTCACGTCAAACTGCGCCTGAACCACCGCAGCCTTGGCATCCTCAAACGCCGCAGCGGCTTGGTCCAGCTCAAACTTAGCGTCATCGATCACGCGCTGCTGCGCAGCAATGTCCTCCTGAACGCTCGCGGGGTTATCCAGAGCTTTCTGCTTCTTAGCGAGAAAAGCCTGCGACCGTGTTAGAGGGCCCTACGACAGCAAGGGCCCTCGATGACCTTTGACTTGGCAGGTCGGCGCCTAACGACTGAGTCTACTCGGCACCGACGCACGAGTTCGGTGGCGGTCATTAGTGACTACGGGTGACTGTGAGCTACTGCAGCGAACTCGGCGGAATCGGTGCTAGGAATGACGAGTCTTGGGGGTCGTAGGTGCCTTGCTTGTGAGGCACGCTGCTCACTTGCTGTGTTGGCAGGAGTAGCGTGCACGGTGAGACATTCCGGTGCCGAGTTGGGTTGGAAATGTGCGGGGCGCGTTCACCCACCTGCACAGCACTTTCGTGTGGGTTGGGTTACTCGCAGCGCCACGCAACAATTGTGCAACTCTTGCTTGCCTATATATGTTTGTGTTTGCTTGTGTGTTTGAGAATTGATATTGCAATTCTACTTGGCCCAAATGCTACTTCAATTCTCACAAAGTCCTTAGAGGCAAACGCTACCAAAACTCTACCAAGTTGCTGGCGCAACATCATTCCCATAGCAGAGACTCTCTCGCTATCGCTACGCTCTCTAATATATTCCTTCATGGTGCGGTGAGCGTGGAACGAACACGCATAGATTTCCGTCGTCGTTGATATTCGCGTTCGTATACTCGCCTTGGCGTGCGGCGTTAGTGAAGGGCGCTTATTAATCTAAGTTGAACCTCTCTTGATTTCCCTCCAGTTACGTTCTCGGACCCAAGGATAGGGCGTTTGGTAATTTATTACCACTCGTCTGAGGACCCTTGTGAGGTGACCCCGAGACGAGGGATTTAAGGAAGGGGCACTTTATTTTAATTTGTGGTACCTTATAGAGACGTCGTAGAGGATGAGTACAGAGGAGGCGAACGTGGAGGCCGGTAATTTGCGCGCCCTAGAGGAGGATCTCGTGGCTCGTCATTCTCGTGGTGAGATTAGTGATATCGAATATGAGCTAATGTTGGAGGGATTGCGCTCGCGTCGGCGTCGTGAGCACCCTTCGCCACGTGTAGAGAATGTTGAGCAAGTTGCGGGAGGTACTAGTGCGTGGGATATGGCTGTCGATGGCGGAAATAGCGATGACGAGGAGTTTGATGGGTTGATGTCGCGTGGGGTCCTGCGAGGACCAACTCGGTTTAGTACGGCTAGCGTTGGCGGTGTACAGGAGCGTGTTCATCGTGCAGCAGCGTCACGAGAGCATGCGAATGTAGGACGGCGGAGCGTTGCTGGAGGAGGAATTGCGGAAGAGTTCGATAGTGAGGCTATGCCGGGCGTTACCCCGATTGGATCGATGTCGAGGGACGAGGGAATAGCCCCCAACTATGGCTACTTCATATTCACTCCAGACAAGATCGTTGTCACTAGGCCGTTAGAAGGACGTCACGACCTGTCGACGTGGACAGAATCAATCGAGCCGCAGCTTGAGATCGCTCAGCTAAAGCGATTCATAGATGGCACCACCCCCATTCCACCAGCGCGTGCGCTTGCGCATCTCTCTCAGTTCCGCGCGATGCAGTTGCTAACATTCACCACCATTTCCCGATGCTGCTCCCCAACCGTACAGATCGCCCTTAAGGCGTGTCGCATGAAGGTCGATGCCGGCTATCAGGCATGGCAGTTTATTATGCGCACGTACATGGCGAAGGACGATCTGTACATCGGTCAGTTAGAGCAGGCGCTCACTAACCTCGAGATGGGAGAGCACGAGTCCGCTACGTCCTATTGCAACCGTGCGCAGCAGATCCTAGTGAACCTGAGGATGGCCGGCGTAGATTACTCGCAGGCGTCGTACATCACTCACGTTGTGAAGGGGTTGCCGCAGCAGTACAACCTCTTACGCAGGATGCTGAAGTTGCCGCAGGTTCGCAAGGAGTTGGACGAGGACACCCTCGCTAGCTACATCATCGAGGAGGAGTGTACGCTGGCGGCAGAGGGACGAAAGGACCAATTTCTTCCCCAGGCTAACCAGGTCTTTACCAAGAAGGGTAAGCCCCAATTCCAGCAGACTTCATTCCCTTCCCCTCCCACTACGGCACAGCAGCAGCAGCCTAAGAATGGGGGTGGGCTTGGTGGGGGAGGGGAGAAGTGGAAAGGGGGTAAGGATGGCCAGCCGAAGGGGGGGAAAGGGGGCTTCAAGGGGAAGTGCTATGTGTGTGGACAAATAGGGCATGTTGCTAAGTACTGTCAGCAGCGGGCGGATAAGGAGGCAGACACCGGTGGAGAGGGTTCTGGAGGTAGCAGCGGAAAGGGGGGTGATGGCTCTAAGGGGAGCGGGCAGTCATCATGTGCGATGGTGAAGCCAGTTGTGGAGCAGACTCCTCTCGTTGTGCTAGAGCCTGAGGCCGGGGAGGGCTTACAGGCTGTTGCAGCTGCTGTGAAGGCGAACCCGAGCGTCGTGCTGCTTGATAGCGGATGCTCCCACCATCTCATGGGAGATCGTTCTGCCTTTGTGGAGATGAGCAGCGGCGGCAGCATTAAGCAGGTTACCGGCTTCAACGGCGCCCTTCAGGAGGTGCAGGGGCGAGGCACAGTCGCTCTTCTTGGGGAGGGGGGCAGGCGTGTCTTGGTGCCGGACGTGCTGTACGTACCAGGAGTGCAGGTGAGTCTTCTCTCTGCTGGGCAGCTGCGTGATAGTCGTGTGCAGCTGCTGGATGCCGGGGATGTGACTTTGCTGCGGGCACCAGATGGATCGCTCCTTGGTCGTGCGGAGTTCAAGGGGCTTGTTCTCTGCACGAACTTCCAGCCGTGTTCGACGCAGCAGCAGGAAGGCGAAACGGTGGCACTTCGTACCTTGGCGACCGGCGTACGGTCTAAGGGGGACCTGTGGCATGCGCGTATGGCACACGTTGGTATTGATGCCATCGAGCGCACAGCGGCTCACGGGTCAGTGAAGGGCTTGGATTTGGAGAAGGGGGGCAAGTCAGGCATATCTTGTGTCTCCTGTGTTGGGGGAAAGATCACTCGTCATACCTTTCCTTCTGTGGGAGAGGAGGAGGATGAGTTGCTCGGGGTGGTGCATGCTGACCTGTGTGGCCCTTTCCGTGAAGCAGCTAAGGACGGCAGCCGCTACTTCTTGGTGCTGAAGGATCGCAAGACGCGATATGTCTGGGCCTACCCTTTGGCCCAGAAGAGTGATGCGCTGGCGGCGTTCCAGAAGTGGCTCCCGATGGCAGAGCGACAGTGCAAGACCACGGTGCAGGCGCTGCGCACTGATCGGGGTGGCGAGTTCCTGGGGCACGACTTCACGCTCTTCCTCGACGGTAAAGGCATCATCCATGACCTCACATGCCCGTACACGCCGGAGCAGAACGGGATGGCCGAGAGGGAGATGCGCAGCATTGTGGAGGCGGTGCGGACGATGTTGCTGCACATGGGTGTGCAGCATCACTGGTGGCACCTGGCGTTGGCTCAGGCCGTCTGGGTGCGCAACCGCGTGGAGCACGCCTCACTACCCTCTGGTGTGACGCCGTACGAGCTCGCCTTCCGACGCAAACCTGATGTCAGTATGGTGCGTGTTTGGGGCTGCATGCTGCAGTACATGGTACCACAGTCGCAGCGTGGGGGGAAGGTGGCGCCTAAGGCTCGCTGGGGGTTGCACTTGGGTGTGTCAGCTGCGAGCAAGGGCTGGGCCGTGCTGGACTTGGAGTCCAACCGCCTCATCACCACTGTGGAAGCTGTGTTCTATGAGACCATGTCCCTAGCAGGATGGAAGGCTTGGCATCAGCAGGAGCATGGGGGGCGTTCGATGCCCTATGAGCCCCTTCCCTCACTCTTCCCGATCACTCTCGAGGAGGCGGAGGAGGAGGAGGAGGTGGTCGCACCTCCTGCTATGCCCTATGTCCCTACCTCGGTCCCCACCCCACCTCCGCCTTCAGTCTACCCTCGTGTGATCCCCCCTGACCCGCCTTTTTCCTCCTCACCCCCCTTGGCTTCCCCTCCTCCTCCTGTTATTCCATCTCCCCTTCCACCCTCCATCCCTCCTGCACCTGCTCCGCCCTCTTCTTCGTCTTCCACGGCGCCGCCCGTTGGTGAGGGGGGGATGGAGGTGCCACCGTCTGTGGAGATCACCGACGGGCAGCGCCTTGAGACTGAGCAGCTGCAGGACGAGAGCAGTATGGATGGAGTACAGCAGAGTGGGGGGCAGGAGACAGGGGAGCAGAAGACAGGGGAGCAACAGATTGGGGAGCAGCAGACAGGGGAGCAGGAGATGTGGGGAATTAGAGATGGTGGTCGTGTGTTGGTTTCTGGGACGACCACTGCACCACTGCGTCGCTCCACTCGCATCACTCGTGGTGTCCCGTCTGTTCGATACGCTTGGGCTGTAGTGGTTGAGCCAGCGGGCTTGGATGACGAGGAGGAGGACGAGGAGTGGACTAACCTGGACCCGGACGTGGCAGCTGATCCTGAGAGGCAGTGGGACATAGCGAAAATGACAGTGAAGGAGGCCTTGGGCTGCTGGAAGGGAGACAAGGTGAAGGAGGCGATGGATGAGGAGATGCGGAGCTTGATTGAGCAGGGGACGTGGGAGTTGGTTCCGCGTCCGCCAGGGGTGAATGTGATGAAGAACCGCTAGATTTTGAACATCAAGTTCCGACCTGATGGGATAGTGGAGCGTGAGAAGGCGAGGCTGGTGGTGAAGGGGTTCACGCAGGTGGCAGGGGTGGACTATGAGGAGATGTACGCCCCTGTGGGAAGCTATGTGACGGCGCGTGTGCTTCTGGCGATTGCAGCTGCACTTGATTTGGACCTGATGCAGCTCGATGTGAAGAACGCGTTCCTCCATGGCGTGCTGGACCGAGACCTTTACATGGAGCAGCCGAGCTACTACGAGGATGGGAATCCTCGTGTCTGTAAGTTGGTGAAGAGTCTGTATGGGCTCAAGCAGAGCCCGATGCTATGGTATGAGGCCTTGGATGGGGTGCTGCTTGGGGCTGGATGGAAGAAGAGCAAGGTGGATGAGGCTCTGTACTTCAAGACTGATGCTCAGGGGGAGATGTGTTGGCTGCTGGTGTATGTGGATGACCTGCTTGCTGCCAGCCGCAGTCAGAGCATGCTAGCGGAGCTGCGTGACCTGCTGCAGAGTGCCTTTCAGCTGCGGGAGATTAGCCCTGTGGAGAAATATCTGGGGTTGCAGCTGATTCGGGACAGGCCCACGAGGAGGCTGTGGCTGCACCAGGGGGCCTATGTGGACAAGGTCCATAGGCGCTTCTTTGACGGGGAGCAGCCGCTGCGAGTGCCTCGCACCCCTCTTTCCTCTGACCCTTTCAGTGTGCAGACCTTCGAGGATGTGGGATGGCAGTCTCGCCAGGAGGAGGAGTACAGGCAGAAGGTGGGATCCTTGCAGTTCGCGGCCTGTACCACCCGTCCCGACATCTCGTTCGCCTGCAGCAAGCTGGGGTCGGGCCAGACTGTGCGGAGTGATCAGCACTGGAAGGAGTTGGACCGGTGCTTGACGTACTTGGTGGGGAGCAGGGATGTGGCGCTGGAGTTTGGTGGTGGGCCGGAGTCCTTGGAGCTGGTGGGCTACGCCGATGCTGATGATGCAGGGGACAAGCAGAACAGGACCAGCACAGGTGGCTATGTCTTCGTGCTCGGGGGTGCTGCTGTCTCATGGGCGAGCCAGCGGATTCGTTGCGCCACCCTTTCCTCCACTGAGTCTGAGTACGTTGCTGCTGTGGAGGCTGGGAAGGAGGCGCGCAGGCTGCGCTTCCTGCTGGCAGAGTTTCAACTGCTGAGGAGTGAGGAGCCCATGACTCTCTTTGTGGACAACTCCTCCGCCATTTCAGTGGCAGGTGGCATGGGGCTCAAGGGGAGCCTCAAGCACATGGAGCGTCGTCACATGTGGCTGCAGCACATGGTCAAGCGCAGGAAGCTGCAGCTGCAGTACATCCCTACGAGCGAGCAGCCTGCTGACTACTTCACAAAGGCATTGCATTTCCCCGCCTTCAGTCGTTGCTTCGAGGCTGTGGGGCAGGTGCGGCTCTCGAGTGAGGGGAGTGAAGACCTAGACACTCCATGATGTGGATGGTGCCATGGCCTATCCATGGCTGGTGCGGTGCGTGTTTACACTTTGAGCGTGTTTCGTTTGTGTGTATCCCTTTGTTTTGGTGTGTATGTGTGTATGCATGCCCTGTGATTATAAAGGGCCTTGCTGTAGTATGGCAGGGGAGTGTTAGAGGGCCCTACGACAGCAAGGGCCCTCGATGACCTTTGACTTGGCAGGTCGGCGCCTAACGACTGAGTCTACTCGGCACCGACGCACGAGTTCGGTGGCGGTCATTAGTGACTACGGGTGACTGTGAGCTACTGCAGCGAACTCGGCGGAATCGGTGCTAGGAATGACGAGTCTTGGGGGTCGTAGGTGCCTTGCTTGTGAGGCACGCTGCTCACTTGCTGTGTTGGCAGGAGTAGCGTGCACGGTGAGACATTCCGGTGCCGAGTTGGGTTGGAAATGTGCGGGGCGCGTTCACCCACCTGCACAGCACTTTCGTGTGGGTTGGGTTACTCGCAGCACCACGCAACAATTGTGCAACTCTTGCTTGCCTATATATGTTTGTATTTGCTTGTGTGTTTGAGAATTGATATTGCAATTCTACTTGGCCCAAATGCTACTTCAATTCTCACAAAGTCCTTAGAGGCAAACGCTACCAAAACTCTACCAAGTTGCTGGCGCAACATCATTCCCATAGCAGAGACTCTCTCGCTATCGCTACGCTCTCTAATATATTCCTTCAGACCGCGCCGCCTGATTAGTCATATCTGCCAGAATCGCCTCCGCGTCGGCCTTCTGCGCTTTCGCCGCCTCCAGATCATTCTGCGCGTCGGTCAGATCTGCGCCCGTGAGCGTCGGATCGGCAGCCTTCCGAGCCGCCTTGTAGACGTCGAAGTTGAAGCTTGCGATAGCGGCCGTCTGGTCGTCAATCATTTGTGCCGCCATGGAAACCCGTCGCTTCGCGTCCGACACAGCCTGCTTCAGCACCGTCTCGTTGCTGCTCTCCGCCACGATCTTCTCGAGCCGCGCCTGCTGCTCCGCCGTGATATCCTGCAGCGACTGAATCGTCGCAGCCGACTCGTTCGCCGCCGCAATCTTGCCGGCGAGGACGAGCTTCAGGCGGTTGACCAGCGGCACCGCGTCGCTGTACGCGGCGATGGCGGCGGCGAGAGTGGCGTTCGCTGCGAGGAGCTCCTGAGCCCTCTGCGCCGCGGTCGCGTTGGCCTTGACCGAGTCGTTGGTGCAGTTGATGGCGTATGCGCGCGTGCTGCGAGCCTTGGTCACGAGGAACGGCTCCGTCTGCGCCGCGGAGTGGTTGACGGACGACAGCAGGCACGCGGCGACGATAACGAGGACCAGCAGGAGAGCCCGACGAGACGCCATGATTTGATAGTAGCAACGAGACGGTGCTGGCTTTGCGTGGCTGATGGCTAACCAGTGCTGAAGGGATGAAGGTAGATTTGAAGAATCGGTCTCAGGTAAAGTGGGTACTGATAGTGGTTGAACTGCTCTTGTTGCTTGTGATTTTCTGACGATAACTTATGGGACCATATACCCGCCGGACGAGAGGTAAAGCCAAGCAGCATGTTTCTCGAAGTTCCTGAAGAGTGGGATGGGAACGGAGAGGCGCCAGCTGATTGGGTTGCGCGAATTGCGTAGGACCGCAACAGCGGTAGGTTGGCGTCTCATCATGTTGTCGCGTCGCGCTCATCTCGCGAAAACCCTGGGACATGAGGCGCGCTGCTGAGCTTAGCAGATAAGTGCGGTGGATGGTGGATTGGCCTTGTAAGAAGTTAAAAGAGAGACCTGTACCCATCTGGTGAAGGACCGGTTTGCCCCAAGTCGCGTTGCCCCGCCCACCAGAACGCTCCTTATTTCTCGAGGGCGGTGAGGTGAAACAAGGCTTCCGCCTGGACCGGTAGGGCCGGAAAGATATCGTGTCAGGAGAAATCATACCCTATCATCGCGCGACTACGCAGACACAAGTGGTTCTGTGGAGGATGCAGAGTCAAGTTTCCAATGGCACTTCGAGGAAAATTGGGCTGGGGACAAGGAGCAGCAGAGGCGTCAGTCTTGCGATTAGAGGGCGTTCGTTTTTGTCGCGAGAGTAGGCCCACCTCGAGAGAAACTTGAGTGTGGGAAGCGACGTGAGGCATGTTCGTTTCCGACCAGGTGTCCAGGGGCACGGGATGTTGTCACTGTAAACGTGGACTTCATCCATTGGTTAAAGCTCGTGACGATTGCAGGACACGGAGCAGTTCCAACGTGCGTACAGTCGTAGCTTCGACAGAAGTCGTCAGGACATGGATATCAGCTACATGGATACATATCTACTATATATTTCTTTCGTTTCGTGTTTTTTGCGGTGTCACTAATACGCAAATTACATATGTTTACATCTCGAAAGAAGGGTGATTGCGCAATTTGATTATAATAATTAATCTATATGGGTCCGTGTGAAAATTGTAGTCGTAACCGAATACACATTTTATTGGTGCATCTCAAGAACGGAGTGCAACGGAATGCCTGAATTAGGGTTGGCAAGGATACAAATAGGAAACCTACCAAAGATGTACTCACTAGAGAGTACCCCACTGCAGCCTATCACAAGATTAACATTTGACACACCCCCATAGGCTAAGTGAGGGACATCAGATCAAGCAAGGTGAACAAATGGTCACAAGACCAGTCAAGCCAAGAAGCAAAGCAAGCTCAGGGTGAATCTCAAGGACACCACACAAGTTCCGAGCACAGGCAAGCCGCCACAAGGCCAGCTCAATAGTTCACTAGTATATATATAGGCAAGTACAACAAACAGAGAAAGCAACAAGACTACAACAACCGAGGGCCTACCTCAACAAGCCCCAACTGCACACAGAACCTGTGGTGGTCACCAAGCGCCAAGGCCTTGGTGAAGACGTCTGCAGTATTGGCCTCTGAGGCCACAAAGTCCAGGCGTGCCTGGCCGCGTTGCTGCAACTCTCTCAGGAGGAAGTACCTCACGTCAATATGCTTCACTCTGCTCTCCAGTCGAGGCTCTCGACAGAGGAGGATCATGGCCTTGTTGTCAGCGTACAAGGTCGGTGCAGAGCGAGGCCGCTCACCAAGGTCGGCGAGCATGAAGGTCAACCAGCGAAGCTCCTGTGCCGCCATGGCACCAGCGTAGATCTCTGCCTCTGCACTGGAAGTAGCCACAGACGACGACCGTATATACCTCCACGACAGAGCACCAGCTCCCAGACTGAAGCAGTAACCCTGAGTCGAGCGCTGAGTCTCCACGTCGTCAGCGTAGGAAGAGCCGCAGTGACCAGTCAACGCCACTGGCTGAGTCCCTCCAAGCACAAGCCCCATGCGTGATGTAGTCGCCAGGTGCTTCGCCACCCTCACAGCAGGTGTCCAGTGGACAGGACGGTTTCTCCCGGGTCGCAACAAAGCGAGACAGTATGCTGAGGGGAAAGGCGAGGTCTGGCCGAGTACAAGTCATCATGTACATGAGGCAGCCCACCAGCTCTGCGTAGGGACCACTGGACTCAAAGGGCTCGTCCGGAAAGGGGCCAGTGAGTCTGTGGTCAACAGCAAGAGGTGTGGGCTGTGTGGTTGATAACTAGAAGTCGAACCGCCGAAGGACCTGCTGCACCATGTGTGACTGAGTCAGTGTGATGGTGCGAGTGGCTCTGTCCCTGGTGATCTGCAGGCCAAGGTAGCGCTGCAGTTCACCTAGGTCAGTGCACTTGTGTCTCTTCTGCAGTTCGAACTTCACCTGAGCCAGAGCTGCCCTGTCTGCTGTGGCAAAGACCAAGTCGTCGACGTACACTAGTATAAAGAAATGAGTGGACCCAGTGCGAACAAACAGCGACAAGTCGGCAGAGGAAGGACGAAACCCAAGGTCACGAAGCGTGGAGCGAAGAGTGTCGTGCCACTCACGGGGCGACTGGCGGAGACCGTAGACTGGCCGCCTCAGGCTCCACTGGGTCCCAGGTGGGAAGGTGTAAGTGAAGCCAGGAGGGCGGCGCAGCCAGATCTCCTCGTGTAGTCGGCCCTGGAGAAACGCAGTGGAGAAGTCAAGGGAGTGCAGCTCGTAGTCTCGCTGTGCTGCTACGTGTAGTAACACCCGAAGAGTAGTCATCTTCGGGGTCGGGGCGAAGGTCTGGAAGAAGTCAACTCCCTCACGCTGACTGAAACCCCTAGCCACGTAGCGCGCCTTGAACACAGGCGGTGAACCAGGCGGCCGCTTCACCTTGAAGAGCCACATGCCATCGACTACGTTCGCCCTGGGAGGGGGAACTGCGTCGACGTAGGTGCCTGTGGATCTCCAAGACGCTAACTCCGAGGCCATAGCCGCTTTCCACTGAGAGGCCCACGCCCCTGACACTGCCTCGCGGTAAGTACGAGGAGTCGGTATGTTAAGGGCGTCGGGGTCTCCCTCAGGGGATAGCAGCATGGCACAGACAGAGGGAGAAGCGGCTGCCCAGTACTCCAGCTCATACTCTCTGTCCTCTAGGACGTCACAGCCAAGGGCAAACTCACCCCCGACGGACAGAGGACGGGAGGGAGGAGCTGGCACCACACGGGTGGTGTAGTCAAGGCGGCTGGCGGCAGCAAACTCAGCGACAGCGGCAATGAGAGCCGAGAAAGAGGACGGAGGGAAACGAGAGTCGGTGACAATAGTGGCGAGGACACGGGAGACAACAGGACGAATAGCAGGGTAGTAGTCAGTGATAGGAGTAGGAGGGACAGGAAGAGAGGACGGAGGAGGAGACGGGAGAACGGACTCAGGAGGAGGACGACGAAGAGACGAACAAAGGAGGGCAGGGCGGAGGTCGGGAACGGGAGACGAGGGACGAGCACGCGGAGGACAGGGACGGACACGAGAGTGTGGAACAACTGGCGGAGGAGACCGCAGTGGAGGAGACTGCGGTGGAGGAGAAGTCCAGACTGCCGGACTGGCGTCAGGAGGAGGAAACGTGGGACCAAACGCTGGAGGGGACAGGAGGAGAGGAGGGAAGACCAAGGGCCCGAAGGCCACTCACGGGTGGGAACAACTGCCGCTCCAGAGGGAGCTGCTGTGGTCGCAGCTGTGGCGGCCGTATCTGCTGCTGCGGCTGCGGCTGCTGCTGCTGCTGCTGCTGCTGCTGCTGCTGCTGCTGCTGCTGCTGCTGCTGCTGCTGCTGCTGCTGCTGCTGCTCCAGCAGGTCCAACTGCCGCAATTCCTGCCGCTCCCTCTCCAACAGCACCTGCTCCTCACGCTCACGCCGATGGGCCGCCTGGAGACGCGTGTCGTGGCGGTGGGGAGGCGGAGTGGACTCCGCAGAACCAGTGTCTCTAGCTCCCGTCTCCTCAGAACCAGTACCTCCAGTGCCAGCGCCTCCAGCACCAGCACCCCCAGAACCAGCACCTCCAGTGCCAGCGCCTCCAGCTCCAGCAACCCCAAAACTAGCACCTCCAGTGCCAGGACCTCCAACTCCAGCACCCCCAGAACTAGCACCTCCAGTGCCAGCACCTCCAGCTCCAGCACCCCCAGAGCGAGCACCCCCAGACCGAGCACCGCCAGCGGCTACACCTCCAGCTCCAACACCATCCGAGTCCACAGGATCCTGTCGCGGAAGTGCCTAAGGCTACTGAGGGGACTATGAGGAGGAATGCGGGGAGGGAGATGGGGTAGCGTGGGACACACCAGACAGGGCAGGACCAGGGGGGGGCGGGGGTACCGGAGGAGGGGGAGAAGGTGGAGGAGAGGGTGCGAGGAAAAGAGGGGGAGGGGGTACCGGGAGACCTCGACAGGGGTACCGGGTGTAGTAGGACACAGACTCGTCAAACCGAACGTCACGGGAGTCTAGGAACTGGTGGAGGGGCGGGTCGTAAAAGGACCAGTCGGCAGAGTCCACTGGGAAACCAAGGAAGACACAGGGGACGGCGTGTGCCAAGATCTTGTCTGCGGAGGTGTCGCGAACAAGCGCAAGGCAGCCCCAGACACGAAAGGCCGACCCAACACCAGGGGAACCGGTCCGAAGGCTGGTCGGTGAAGCCTCGGGCCGCGAGACACGCGGCTGGAGGTTCAGCTGGTGTGCGGCGTAGCGAACCGCGTAGGGCCATAGAAAATGGGGCGCACGGACATGGATCATGGGCGTGCGAGCAATGTCCATGACCAAGCCAATGCGGCGCTCAGCAACCCCATTCTGCTGTGGGGACTCAGGAAGCGTCCAGGACTGTACGATGCCCTGTTCGCCGCAGAATCCGCCAAGAATGCCGGAGCGAAACTCGCCCCCACGGTCGGAGTGTAGACAACTAACACGATCACCACGAGTGCCCTCAGTAGCCAGAAGCCACCGGATCAGCGTAGAAGTCACCCCGGACTTCTTCGCGAGAGGGAACACTGTGGTGTA